TACTATCAATCGTCGAGAAGGGACCAAGGATCATTTGAACAGCTCTTGGGCTAGTTTGTATCTTGCTCTGATTTTCAAGTTCTTTGATGTGCTTGTTAGTGCTACAGGACAAAGGTAGAGATTGCAGTAACTTGTAGAAATATAGAACAGTAAATATAACAGAGCAATAGACAGCAAGTTATATGTAATGAGCACCAGATCTTAAGTCGTCCGACTATGTAATTTGTATAAATAAAAGAGATACAAAGATACAATATAATATAACGTACAATAATCAAATGTAATGCAAGATCAAAGTACCCAGTTAGACGAATGATATAATAATAGTCTAGTTTAAAGTAAAAGATAATACAAGTAAAGTACGATTGTAAGTTTAAGATGAAATTATGGATGTCTTTATTTAAATTGAATTGTTCTAGTATTTGTATCTATTCTAAAGTGGTCATGTTGGACTTGCAAAAGTGCAATTATAACAGCCCAAATATAATAAATTCATGAATCACTGTAAAAGTGATACGATCATATTAGGCTATGCTGACTAAATGTAAAATGAGCAATATGTGATAAAGTCTAATGTGATATAAAGTAATAATTGGGACTCAAAGTAAGTATTCTGTGACACAAGTAACTGTCAGAATTTAGAGTTGAATAATAAGGAATTCAAATTTGAGTAGAAAGATATGTGTAGAAAAATAGAGTATGAAATGGTAGGTTCTCTCAGCAGATATCAACCTTTTGTCCCCTTTTTTTTTTTTTTTTTTTTTTTTTTTTTGGAAAGTAGCATTATTTTTTTGGTTACAGACATTCAATTGTTGATTGTTCCTGAAACCCCCTTTCTTCCTTATATCTTTCAAAGCCGCGCATCGCAGAATAAATTACGAGTGATATCAACAATAACGAGCCAGAAAGATTGCTCACTGCAGCAGACGCGCTTGCACTTTTCAAAAGACTGCAAATTGAAGAGCAAACCAGGAAAGATGAAGAAAGACATGGCTCAAAATTACCATTGTAAATATCAGAATATTCGGATAGCACGACAACATATGAGTTCAAAGAAGAGTTTATTAGACTTAAAAGATAGGTCGCCAAATACAAGAACGACAACTGGAACAAGTAATATCAAATCAACAAGGAACTTATTGTTGAACTTAAGAAGTGGAAGACAGATACTTGCCAAGTTATCACCACCATCTATAGGTACTCAGAAAATAGCAGAATAAATGCAATTTAGCATCCATCCTAACAAAGAACTTATTGCTTACCGGCCATCAATCCAAGGTTTTTTCAGCTCCAAACGAAATCAACCAATACCTGTACCAGCAGGCCATTAATTGAAAGCATGGGATATTGACGTGGTCATTCAGTATATCAAGGTCAACTTGTGCAATAACCAAACCATCACACTCACAGATCTCCAGCAAAAGACAATTGTTCTACTACGCATCGCTACCAAGGCTAGGTCAAGATCAGACATAGGCAATATACAATACAGTATATGAGTTTTGTAGCAAACAAAAGAAAAAGCGATGAATTTTTCAGGGTCTATTTTCAGGGAAAAGTAAGCCACTGTCCTACGGATTTAAAATGTGGTAAACGTATGCATAGTGCACGGATCAACGGAAATACTTTTTGTGCTCAAGGTAAAAAAAAAAGGAAGAAAAAAAAAAGACAATAGTTAGTTCATCTTTAGGCACCAGTAATCAGTACTTTCAGTTTGTGTGCAAAATAGCTTTCTTTCTTTTTCTTTCTTTCTTTTTTAAACAGCTAAACTTTTCTTTGCTCTTTTGGTTATTGACATTTTCATATGAATAAGAAAGTTTGTTATTGTTTCAGGATGTTTTCTTGAAGACTAGCTGCTTTTACTTTTGTCTTTAGAAGTTTAAGGGCTTGCTTAAAGCAACGATTTACTTTTGTTTCTTTTTTACATTCTTTTTCAAGGTAAGTTCATGTTGCTTATTTGATTTCTATATATCTTTCAATAGTGTAGTTGTGCTTGTTTAGTGTTGTTCAGACATAAAGCCACACTGAAACTTGTGTCATCAAAAGCAACGCGCAATAACTTATGTTTATTGACTAGTCTACTCAAACTGGTTTTTTAGTTATCTAAAAGGTCGTCTAACAAGATGTACTGCTGGTTCAAGACTATTTCTCTCCCTGGTTCTACTCTGATTTGGTCGGTAAGCTCTATGATAAACAAGGTGTGCTCTACTCAGGCTGGTTTCTCAAGTGTCTGTAAGGCGTTTGATCAAGTGGTATAGGGCTTTCAAACCCTTTTCTTCAGACTCTGGCTCTCTTTAGGGTTTGGAAGATATACATTCAAGGCTTAGTAAGTTTTCGTAGTGTAAGTCTACTTTTTTGAGTCTTTTTGTGTCTATTCGAGAGTCTGATCAACTCTTGTTCAGACAAAAAGAAGATCTGAAAAGGCTTGATTACCCTGATCAAACCCATCATGTGTTTGTGTTGTGCATATCCTTTTTCTTTGTTGTCGTATTTGTGTAATAAGAGCTATGCGTATATTCCACTTACATCAACGGCTTTGTCCACTCAAGTATGTTGCCTTGTTGTCTTTCGTCTTTAGCATGAGGTGATCAGGACTCATTTCACTTGCGAAACTACAGTGATGTTGTCTTCCATATGCCATAACACTACGCTCTGATTTTTTCTAACTGGTGTTTAGTCTTCCTCTCAACTCGATCGAAACGCAGTTGCGGTTTGTGAGTGTCAGTAAAAAAAAACACCGAATCTCCCACTTGCATGATATGCACCATTTGTCATACTCAATAGTTACTCTTTTTGACCTCAGAAATGTCATGTATAATAGCGAATCTTACTCTCAAACGCTCTGTAAATCGAATATTATATGAATTAGTACCTACTTATTAGTCAAAATTTATTGAAAAGGGGCTTCTTTTGTACTGATTACAGTGTGCAATCAACCTTGAATGCAGATCTGAGGGGAATGCTCAAATTAACTCGTCTTTATACAAACGTATTTTATCTTTCATTACCTTCAAAATTATGAAAGCGAGATGCTCTTTAATACGGAGCTACAGTTCAACCCTGCAATTCTCTTTCTAGTAGAATTCCAACTTAACAAAGCCATCGTGGTAATCTGAACATAATAAATGTCTTCTCTAGTACCTTTAGTAAAATCATTTAAGCTGCAATTTTGTTTATAAAAAGGAAGCACACCTAGGTCTGTCTCATATTGAAAACCTGTTTATTCATAGACATGCTAGCTTTTACCCGAATTCAATTTAAACATAGCAGTTTTGAATAATACAGAAGCATAAGCACATTAATGATTTATCATGACTATATATGATAAGAAAAGAAGGAAAAATGACTTGTTTATTTTTTAATGATGTGTAAGTAATTTCATTTATTAGGAAGAGGCAATTATTTTGAAGAAGAGGTTTGAAAAAGATTCACCAAATACAAAATAGAGCCAGGAATAGAACCAGAAGAGTAAAACCATAGAAAGAGAGCCTTGATGAACCAGGAAACAAGTAACTAGAATGACGATTAAAAAAAAAAGCTTTCAAGCATATATAACTTACCAAAAGACCAAAGCCATCATGCTACCCTCTAATGTGCTGATTTTCATAGCCCACGCGGCTCTGCGTAGTTCAGAGCCGAATGAACCGGCCCAAACTGGCCCTGCGTAGTTCAGGGCCGAATGGATGCCATCGCCGACAAGAAGAGGGCATTTGGAACATCACTGTACGGAAACAAGTGGTTCCCTATAAGAGAGTCAGTAAACGTGTCTTTTAGAATAATTATCTTACCTCCTTGATGGATGAGAAGAGGCTAGTAAATTTGCATACGAGGCCAAGAGAGTAGAAGAGTAAAGTAAGGTAGAGTAGGTCTTGTAGTAGAGCAAAAGTGGTCTTGAGGCCTTAAGGTAGCGTAGCTTTTGATTAAAAGAGTAGAGTAGATGATAAGTAAAAGGAAGAAAGAAAAGAAAAAAGACAAGGCTGCGCCATTTCTTTTTTATAGACGTTCTTTGCTCTTTTTTACTTTCAAGCCAATTAACAAAAAAAAAAAAAAAAAAAAAAAGGAGGGGAAGAGAACATAATCATACTGATATCATTGTTTATATTGAGAGAATACAGTCCAAGTATTCCTTTTATTTTTTAGACCTCTACTTTTTGTTCTTTAAAGAGGTATACATAGATAGCAATTTATTTCCTTGTTGTATTCAAATATGAGCAAAGAAAAGTTAATCTTCAAGAGGGCATTACGCGTTTTAAAGAGATAGACAATACGATGTGTATCACTGTTCAATTGCATAACACAAACAAAACAAACCAATAAAAAGAAATCTTTTACTGCTTTCTAACCTAAGAAAAGCTTATATTTAATCAGTTGTTGTTTGCCATTTGATAAATAGAAAGATGATGAATAATTATCACTTTTATTGCTAGCGCTATTTTATCAAGGCCTTCAAATGGAAAAAAGGGGGGATTTTTTTTAGCTTATTCAATCTCAGCAGACGTGAGTGGATTTAATCCATTAATTTTATTTAAGACTGTTTTTGCCAATAACTAAAGATGAATAGACAACGCGCAAGCACAAGATCTAGTCAACCACAAGCACTGACTGTAAAACAAGAAAAAGACAACTATTACTTACATTAAAGACACCAGACAAAACCTTCTTCAGTCCAAAAAAAGAAAAGAAAAACAAGAGAAACAAACACTAAGCTTGAGGAATGCCTGGAGATCAAACCAACACTGAGCATGACAGTAAGACAAAAAGAAAAAAAAACCTAAAGCTTTGGCTAATCAACACCACAATGCTTGTAGAGTATACACAAGAGAGGGCTTTTTATAGCTTCTTTGGAAACGATAAAACATGAACTAAACGAACAGCATAAACGGAGAAAAGCACCTAATCTATCTGTAAATACAACACAAAGACAACAAAAAAGAAAAGTACAAGTTAGAAGGAGAGGGGAGACACTAGTAAAAAAAACACAGCACAAACATATTGTGGATCTAATCAGGGTGATCAAACCTAACTAAATCCTCTTCTTGCTTCAATAAGAGCTGATCAGACCCTTAAACAGAAACAAGAAGACTCAAAGAAGGAAACGCACACCATGAAGACCTGTTGAAGCCTTGAACAAACACCTTGGAAGGCCAAAGAGGACCAGAGCTAGGAAAACCAGTCTTGAAAGTCCAGTGATACTTGTACAAAAGACCTTGCAGATACCTAGAAAACCAATGTAAGTAGAGTAAACCTTCGCCATCTAGAAACTTACGGACTAAAGTAGAGCATTATCAGAGAGAAACAGTTTTGAGGTATCGGTACGTTTTGATGGATAGCCTTGAAGGCGCCTAGGGAACCAGCTTGAGTAGAACAGACCTTGTGATCGTGGAACTTGCTAACCACAACCAAGCACAACCAAGCATAACCAAGCATAACCAAGCACAACCAAGCATAACCAAGCACGACCAAGCACGACCAAGGGCAACCAAGCACAACCAAGCACAACCATGAAGAGACGATCGAGAGCCAGCAGTAAACTTGGACAGATAGCCTTGCAGATACCTACAGAATACGGTGAGTAGTGCAAAGCTTGTTGTTTTGGAACTCACTGACCAAAGTAGAGCACAACCGTAGAGGGAAAGTCTTGAATCAGCAGTACGCCTTGCTTGATCACCTTGTAGAAACCTAGAAAAGCCAACTTGAGTAGAACAACCTTTGTCATCTTGAAACTAACCGACCAAAAGAAGCACAGCCATACAGAGAGTGTAGGAGAGAGTCTTGAACCTACTGTTTGTCTTGATGGATGACCTTTCAGCCACCTAAGAAACCAGCTTGAGTGGAACAAACCTTGAGAAGTTGAGGCTCACTAGCCTAAAGAAACACAGCCAGTGTACCTTGATGGATACCTGTGGGAAAAAAAATCGTAAGTAGGGTATGCATTCTCATTTGAAACTTATCTATGGAAGGAGAGCATAACCACAGAGAAACACCAGTGTACTGTGGATTTGATTAGGATGATCAAGCCTAACCAAACCCTCTTCTTGCCTGCACAAGAGCTGATCAGACTCTCAAACAGACAAGGCTGAAGGAAGCAGACGGCATTGCGAAGATCTGTTGAGTCCTTCAATGGATACCTTGAAACACTTGAAAGAACCAGAATCAAAGGGAGACAGTCTTGCACCAGTAACACACCATGATGACCAACCTTGGAGACGCCTTAGACACCACCATAAGTAGAGTATACCTAGGGATCTTGAGCTTGCTAACCATAACAGGGTAGAACCAGGGAGAGAGTCAGTCTTGGACCAGTAACAGACCTTGATGACCAGCCTTGCAAACACCTAAACAAAAGGACTTTAGTGTATTATACTTTTAACACCATTGGAAGATACTTACTAGATATCCACTGAGCCATGAGAGCCATTCTTGATTGACCTTGAGACTTGCTGAGTAACCTTGGAGACACCTGAGAGAAAGCCTTGTCGATAGAGAAAGACCAGTTTCAGCCTAGAAAGTGACACCATGCCTTCTTTTTCCCCTTTGTGTATACAAGTACCCCGAAGTACAAGTATTTGCAGTAGTTTGAAGACAGCTCGTCTTCTGTCTTTGTATGTATGAATGCTGCTGCGCATTCTTTTTTTCCCTTTGTAACAAGGTCAAGGACGCATTCCCGTTAAATAACAGGAACAACAGACCACCGGAACTTAATCCAAGCGGACCCTAGTCTTCCAAGTAGAACTGGGATATCACTATCATTCAATTAAGAACAAAGGTGATATACACAATACAACGGCACAAGTACCCCAAAGTACAAGTATTTTCAGTAGTTTGAAGATAGCTCGTCTTCTGTCTTTGTATGTGAATGCTACTGCGCATTCTTTTTTTTTCCCTTTGTGTATACAAGTACCCCGAAGTACAAGTATTTGCAGTAGTTTGAACAAGCTGACCAGACTTGAACAAATGCATCTCTTTTCTGAACAAGAGCTAACCACTCTCTTGTCTTTGTATGTGTGAATGCTACTGCTCATTCTTTTTTTCCCTTTGTATGTACAAGTACCCCGAAGTACAAGTATTTGCAGTAGTTTGAACAAGCTGACCAGACTTGAACAAATGCATCTCTTTTCTGAACAAGAGCTAGCCACTCTCTTGAACAGAGTATTAGGCAACGGTAAACCCAATCTTGAGACAAAAGATAGCTCGCCTTCTATCTTTGTATGTATGAATGCTACTGCGCATTCTTTTTTTCCCTTTGTGTATACAAGTACCCCGAAGTACAAGTATTTGCAGTAGTTTGAACAAGCTGACCAGACTTGAACAAATGCATCTCTTTTCTGAACAAGAGCTAGCCACTCTCTTGAACAGAGTATTAGGCAACGCTAAACCCAATCTTGAGACAAAAGATAGCTCGTCTTCTATCTTTGTATGTATGAATGCTACTATAGAAGGCGGACACTACGCATTCTTTTTTCCCTTTGTATATACAAGTACCCCGGAGTACAAGTATCTATGTATTGAGAATCAGTAAACCCAAAAACCTGATCTCTGCAGCCAGTTAGTACGTACGTGTATAAACAATCGCTAGGGACAATAGCTTTTGGTTACACAAGTCTTAGTATAACGTCATATCTAAACAGCGCCAAAAAAGCAAAACACTGAACAGACACAGCTACACGGCTGGAAGGTAGCACTCTTTTAGCTCCATAGGATAGCTAAACAAGAGTTTGAGTACCCTGAGCAATATGGTCTTTATTTTGACAACAATGTAAAAATAAAAGACAAGGGTTTGAAAAAGAAAAAAATTTTTCTGGAAATAAAAATACCATATTCGAAGTCCGGTGGCTTAGCCAATCAATCTGTTGCCTTGGACACTTTAAGAGATTGGCCACTTTAAGAGATGCATGAACAAATGGCCTTTGTGTTATTTTCTTATCAGATGCTAAAAGCACCTAACACCACCCTCTTGTCTTGTGAACAGGTTACAGTCTCCAACTGTATTTCTACAGAAAGTAAGTTAAATGAAATAAATAACAAGCCTAAATTCGAAACAAGTCTGTTTCAATAAAGTTTTAACCTTTGCTAGGCTACGGTAAATTTTAACTTTCAGCTATGGTTCAGCTACTTCGCTGTGGCCTTAAATTGAGTGGGTACTGTAACAGAAAAATTTCAAGTTGTGTAGCGGAAGTCCTTCATCTTCGGTTTTGTTGTGTAACTCAATAAGATGTCTAAACATGTTGACTTCACCCAGTTCGTCTATAGTATCAGCTCTCAGTAAGCTATATTCTCTCTTACTGATTTTGGTAACATGAGTATTCATAGTATTGAATCGAAAAAAAAAATTGTTGTAAAGGCTCATGACTATGACCCGAAGGTATCTATCATTATATCCATTGACCATTGTATCTTTAATTCCCAGTTACTGTTGAGCTTTTGACAAGATGTCAGATCTGACAATAAAATCATGTAAACGATTTAGATGTAATATTACAATCCATTAAGAATATTTCGCACTTTATCTTTGTTTTCGCTAACTAAATAAATAAATTGATTCTCAAAGATCCCTTTCTGCTATACATATAAAATAGTACCTCAAACTTGTAAAAAAGAGACATTTTATTACTCTCATAACTGCTCTAAGTGTTGACCATTAACTTATTACCCAAAGAGCAATTTAAACCAGACGTTATGGTATTGTGGAAAGCTAGTTTATCATCATATCAATACAAGCTGTATACGCGGAAAGCAATCGAGACATTTTTTTATTTTTACTGTGGATATCTTTTTCTCTTCTTATTCATCGTCGTCGTCATCCATAAGTGGGGGGAGCCACAATTCCTTACACCAGTTTAGTGTGCTGCAGTTTTTTTCAGTTTTTGGGCATTTTTTGTTCTTCGCGATTACTGATATTTTTGCTGCTTTCAGTAGACCATCTTTCTCAACGATCATAGCCTTCATATCCAAGCAAAATTTCTTTAGTATAAACAAATTTTTCAGCAACTCGGAAATCCCTCACTCTTTCATTTCCTTTAGTGATAAAGGGATAGACATACTACAGACATCTTTAAGTATATAAAGGTTGCGTGATTCAAGATAAAGACCATAGACATAGCAGGTCGTGCTAGTTACAACACAGAGAGGCATTTGTAAATTTTTGACTTTTTCTTGAGTGATACCTGGAAAATTTTCAACAAGCTCGTTTAAATGAATCTTTGAGGATATTACGGCTTTCAAGAGATCTTTATAATATTTGCTTTCAGTTTCTTTCTTGGCAAACTCAGCGTTACCAACATCAAGTGCCTCCTTATGGCTATCATCCGAGAGGTTGATTAATCGTAGGTCCATTCTGGCAAGAGTTCCATTTTTAATCGAGAAAGATGATATAGTATCACCCCAATGAGCCATTACACCTGAAGAATGAAATACGGTTTCAATAAGATAACCCCAAAGCTTGATGATATAATCTTGTTCTGATAGGAAGCTTTGTGCCTTTTCAGTGAAGACTTCAGGCGAATAGAGATGCACTTTTAGGATATATTGATATACGTCACGAACAATATCCTCTTGGTCAGGAATATGTCAATCTCTTCAGAATGAATAGATGAAGCGAGCATAAGATCTATTACAACTACTGTATCTGTATTCTGGTCAGTTAGCCATGAATATCTGTACGTGATAATAAAGTCTGATACTTATTTGTAATATGTATATAGATTCTATATGCTCACAACACTTCTCTTTCGTTTTCTTAATACTTGATTCGGTGCAGGGATCTTCGCAAGAATTTTCGATGTTCGTTTTCATTGAGTAACAACAACTCTTCATACTTTTGGATTGTGTTTAAATTGACTATATTTTGAACAGGTACAAACCTATTTTGACAGGCTTGTGATGCTTCTTCTGGGAGTTGCGAGAGTCGGCTACCTGCTGTAGTGTCCGTCATATCGAGAATACCATTCATACCTAGAGTAACAAAATATCTGCTTTTTCTATCCAATGTTTGAGAATTGCTTGCCAGTGTGCCAATAAAACTACCAATAGAGGAGCTCAAGCCAGGGACGAAAACACCATCGACCTCGTTGACAACAATTCTTTGGCGGGAAGGCTGAGAAAAATGTTCGCTACTTTGTTTTCTTTTTAACTTTTGTGCGATTAAGGGTTTAAATTGGCTAGAAGAGGGATCAGAATTGATAAATTTGATCTTCTGGTAGGCCTTGAGAGAATGGTGTCGATTTTCGTGATTCAATAATACATCCCAAAACTCCTCAACTGATCTATTTGAAAGAATCTAGTTTGATTGCTTGTTGATGAGATTACAAGACGTGGCTTTGTGTTGATACTTACTGAAAATTCTGCTTCTGAGACTGCATTTGCCCATCTTGAATAGAGAGGATCGTCCGAGCTTTTAGCAAGTGTTACAATAGCAATGTAGTCATTCATGGCTTTATCTCGATTCTGATAGGAATAGTCTCCTGCAACAAAAAACCTGGGAAGCCCATTGTTCTCTTCGTAGTTATTCTCAAGCCATTCAGCGGCGTTCCTACCACTTACATTAGCTCACATTGTAAATATTGACCTATATCACGCGTTTTTCACTTACCATAAAACATTGCTAGCAGACATGTTTTTTTCAAAAGAAAAAGAGAAATAAGGCTTTTATTGGCTGTCCAGTACCCACTTTTGCATTTAATTTTTACGCATTTTCTCTTTTTTTTTGGAGAAGCTATTGAAAAAATAATAACAATAATAATAACAATAACAATAATAACAATAATAATAATAACAATCTTCAACCGTGGTTTTAGATTGTTAATAACTTCTCTTTTCAAACAGGCCATTGATAGATCTAACAATCCTCTATTTGAATAGCTATCCTGAAAATCTTACAACTGTTCATACAGTCAACCTAGCCCAATTGTTTCTCAAGTTGATGTTAAATCCAGCCTCATCAATAAAGACGCAGCTCTTAGTGTAATCCAGATCTGAGTCTTTCCACTTCATGAACCACTCGTATCTTGTTTGCAAATTATTTTTAGAGTTTCTTGCCTTAGGGTCGAAGGTTGGCTTCTTGATTGTAGTGAGCATGTTGTTTCTCAAGTGGTGGTTCATTTGAGACTTTGAGATCTTGAAGTTCTCAAAATGCGATGTCAGGGAGTCAATAATGTCATCAGCACATAGCTGCAAGTCTTTTTTCCTTATTTGCTAAATGTGCTGCTCATGCTAGAGTAAATGAATTAAGGTTGACCTGAATTCCTTTGCGACTTTTTGTAAGCAGCTTCCCCGGGTTTCTCATAGTATTTTCACCAAAGCATAGCATTACGAGGGTCTATTCCGAGATCCTTTGCATGTAAAGCCACTTTTCCTTTCTCCATAGGACCTTCGATCATTTGGTTGATGAACACCTCTCTGGTCTGGTCATTATAGTCTTTGTAGACGCCATTGTCAATTGGCTTGATAACTTCTACAACTTTTTTTTTATCATATCTTTTGCTGTAGTTTCTTTCTCTGCTGGTTTGAGACTCAAGAAGTAGGACTTTGGCTCGTTATGGTTTCGAGTACTGCGTTTGGATCACTAACTTCGGTCAGCACGCCTTCCATCGGATCAAAAACTCTTTCTCCATATTCGTTATAGACATTCTCGTGTCCATCTTTATAAAAAAAAAATGTGTTATTTATCATGCTAGTCAGTTATAAGAGTGAAAAGAAAGAATCAAAGCCTTTTACATCATAGCCGACAATAAGTAACACCAATCTGATTTTGTCCAAAAAGACAAACATAAAATTTTGAAAACAAACAAAATTTACCAGCTGCACTGTATATGTTACGAAGTTACTCAAGTCAATCAAGAGGCAAATCATTTGAACAAAATTTAGTTACTTTGTGTGACTCTATTATTTTTTGAACTATCATTGCGCTACTCTCCCCCTTTCCTCTCCTTTTTTTTTTAATTATGGTCTCTGCTATTTCTTTAAATGATACAGACTGGAAAAAGAATCAATATTTTTCAGTATACACTAAACCTTTAGAGAAATCAGACAGTGACAGTAGAGAGTATCGTCTGATCCAACTTGCTAATCAACTTCAAGTCTTGTTGATCCAAGATCCAGAAACAGATCGTGCAAGTGCTGCGCTCGATGTTCATGTTGGAAGCCATAGTGATCCTGTAAGACATGAAATAAATGTTATATCGTTATTTATTTCATATATAAAAATTAGGAACAACTTCAAGGCTTGGCTCATTTTTGTGAACATTTGTTGTTTATGGGAACTAAAAAGTATCCTAAAGAAAACGATTACTATAGTTACTTGTCAGAACATTCAGGTACAACATTGGTTTTCTTGGAAACATGCACTTACAGAACTAGGCCATGCAAATGCATATACAGGAACAGAAAACACAAACTATTTTTTCGAAGTGGGTCACCAATGGCTAGAAGGTGCATTGGATCGCTTCTCGCATTTCTTTATCGACCCTTTATTCTCCAAGAGTTGCACAGAGCGAGAGATTCGAGCAGTGGATTCAGAACATAAAAAGAACCTACAGTCAGATTGTTGGCGAATCGCTCAAGTAGAGAAAAGTCTGAGTAGTCCTCATCACCCATGGCATTTATTTCAAATAGGCAATTTGGAAACATTAATGGACACTCCAAAGAAGCTTGGATTAGATATTCGACAAGAATTGCTTAAATTTCATGAAACTTACTACTCGGCCAATATCATGAAATTGGTTGTCATTGGAAGAGGTAAAAAAAAAGGGAGAGAGAGAGAAAGAGTCTCTATTAACATGACAATTGACTTCATTTTTTTTTTTTTTTTTGAAGAATCTTTGGATCAATTGACCGAATGGGTGGTTGATAAATTCTCTAGTGTGGCAAATAAGGATATTGCTGTCCCTTCATTTCCTGGTCATCCATTGACTAAAAATGAACTCATGAAACAGATTTTTGTTAAGCCTGTCAAGAAGACTCGTACTTTAGACATCACTTTTCCTTTTCCAGACCAAAAGCCTTACTGTGAAAGCCAGGTAAACTTAAAAATGAGCATTCGCTTCCATTTGCTTATTTTTTTTTTTTTGGTTTTAGCCTGCGCATTATATCTCACATTTGACAGGCCATGAAGGCCCTGGATCTGTTCTTTCCTTTCTTAAAAAAAAGAATTGGGCTACTTATCTAAATTCTGGCATGTGTCTTGATGGCATTGGATACGGATTCTTTCATGTCAGTGTAGATTTAACAGAACAAGGCCTAGGTAAAGATCAAACAAATCAAAATGGATTGTACTGAACGTCCTTTTCTAGCTCATTATGAAGATGTTGTGATGGCTATTTTCGAGTACTTTGAGCTTATCAAAGAAGCAGGTGTCAAAAAGTGGATTTTTGACGAAATCAAATCATTAGCAGAGATTGAATTCAGGTTTTCAGAGAAATGTTCACCTTCGCAATACACCTCGTTTTTGTCTGCTCAGATGCAAGAAGGTCTGCCACCTCAATGGACCATCAGTGGCTCTGCATTGTTACGAAAATACGATCCTGTTATTATTGAACAACACATGTCTTTACTTCGACCTGATAATTTTAGATTGACATTAGCTTCTCAAGAGTTTCCAGAAGGTGTACAATGCACTCGGGTTGAAAAATGGTATTCAACAGAATATGAAGCATTGCCATTAAGCGAGCAATTGATGGCTGTAAGTTGAAGTCTGTTTTTTATTCTTTTCTCTCATTGTTTCCTTTGATAGAAATTGAAATATGTCTCCAAGAATCCAGAATTTACATTACCTGCTATCAATGAATTTATTCCTTCAAAACTTGATATAGACCGTGTCGTAGTTGAGAATAGAAAGACACAGCCTGAATTGATTCAAGATACACCTATGAATAGAATTTGGTACAAAAAAGATGATACATTTTGGATACCCAAGACAAATGTATGGATCTTGTTTAAGAACCCATTGACTTATGCTTCTCCTTATTATTCAGTCTTGACGGAGTAGGTATCCATGTAGAAAGAGAATGCCTTTTAACTTTTCTTTTGTATACAGTTTGTATATTAGTCTATTGATGGATTCATTATCAGAATACTCTTATAATGCCGAGGTAGCAGGCTTATCCTATTACCTTAGTCAAGATACAAAAGGGATTTCAGTAAGTTGAAAAAAGGATGCATGATGGTATTTACGAAAATTAGCTTTATATAGGTGGATACAGTGATAAGCTGCCTTTGCTGTTGGAAAAAGTGATTGATAAAATGAAGCATATGCGTATTGAGCCCCATCGTTTCAGTATATTCAAAGACGAAATCACCCGTGCCTATGAAAACTTTTCTTTAGAAGCACCTTTTCAACACTCTATTTACTACATGGGCTCTCTTTTTCATCAAAACATTTGGACTTACAACGAACATTTGTCTGAAATCAAGCATATCAGCGTACAAGACGTACAGGCATTCATTCCTTCCATCTTGGGCAGTCTCCATATTGAAGGTTTAGTCCATGGATCATTAGAAAAAGAACAAGCGATTCGAATGTTTGCTTCCATTCAAACCATGTTGCAACCTCGTCCTTTGACACCGAACCAATTTTTGGGTGAGCGTGCCACTGTTGTACCTCAAGGCCATCAATACGTATATTCTTTAAACGTCACTGACCTTGAAGAAGTCAATTCGGCTATCAGTCATTATTCACAAATCTGTAGTGTCAAAAATATTCCCTTACGAAACAGGCTGAATTTGGTTGCTCAAATAGCTCAGGAACCTTGTTTCAATCAGCTTCGTACGCGCGAACAATTAGGCTATATGGTCTTTAGTGGTAGCAAGCGTTACTTGGATATGTTGGCTTTCCGTGTGCTGATCCAAAGCGAACGGGATCCTGTCTATCTTGAGAACCGCGTCTTGGAATTTTTAGAATCACTAAGGACAATCATTGCTGATATGAATGAAGCAGACTATCAATCTCAAGTAGACTCATTAATAGCAGAACGACAAGAAAAGTTTCAAAACCTGTATGAAGAAGGACAAAAGTACTGGATTGAAATCGAATCAGGCTATTATGAATTTGATGATATTCAAAAAGATGTCAAGGAACTGGGCTTAATTACACAAGCATCTCTGTTGGAGTTTTACGACCAGTTCATCATGCCTAGTGCTCCTCAAAACAGTACAGTCTCTGTCCATATGTTATCTCAAAAGACACCATTGGCTGTAGAAGAACTCAATGTTGAACTACTTTACCCTGTATTGACCTACTTGGGATTGATAGACAAAACCATGTCTGAAGGTGATTTCAAGGCATTAATTGCTGACCATGCAGCTCACACCGAGTCCGAGCTAAGAAGCTGTCTAGTGGATGTGCTTGAATTATCAGAAACAAATATAGACCAAGTTGTTTATAAAATCAAACAAGGCCCAAGTGAACTCTCTAAGCGTGACCACACCAAGCTGCCCGAGAATTATAGAGCTATTGTAGATCCTGTTCAATTCAAACGTAGTATGCCTTTATCTGCTGCTGCTGTATCATGTTATCCTTTTACAACTCTATCATGTATCTAATAAAGCTTTCTTTTTTCTTTATCAGCATTTAACCGCCGTTTCAAACAAAAGTGTTTTATAAACGACTTTTATTTTTTTTTTTATTTCTTTTTTCTCTCTCTCTTTCTCTTTTTTGTTATGAGTGTACCTAATTTTCCTCTATTTAACAACATTGTTCACTATGCCAATAAAGAAAACAACATTGCTATTGACGATGTACGCATGAACAAAAGTTTTTCATACAATGAATTAATTCATGCTGTTGCACAACTTCGACTTGAACTATTAAATGGCAAAAGGTAATTCCGAATCCATCGACATCATATTGAACTTTTTTCTTAGTTCACTTGAGCAAGACCGTATTGCTATTTTGTGTCCAAGGTGAACAAACATATGTTTCCATAGATAATACTAAATGTTGAACTGTATAGTGGGTTTCCTTATGTCGTTTCTTTACTTGCTATTTGGGCAGCGGGTGGTATTGCTGTCCCTATTTGTATGTCAAGACCCCCCTTTTTTTTCTTTTAAAACTGACATATAATTTTAGGCACAACGCATCCTGCCCCTGAACAAGTCTATACATTACAAGACTCACAAGCTTCTTTTATCATTGGACACCCTGTCTTTGCTGACCGTCTTCAAGAAATCGCAACCACGACACAACTTGCTTATACAATCAAAGACGACCCTGCCTTTATCGCTCTTGCTCAAGATAACTCGAGTCTTTCGTTGATCGATGCTGACTTTAATGCAAGTGCTTTGATTATTTATACAAGTGGTACCACAGGTAAACCCAAAGGCGCTGTATCCACTCACTGTGTGATTGATGCACAAGCCTCTGTCCTTGTGAAAGCATGGTACTGGACTTCACAAGACCGTATTCATCACATCCTGCCATTGCATCATATCCACGGTATTGTGAATGCTTTGATCTGTGCTCTGTATGCAGGTGCCACAGTGGAAATGCATCAGAAATTCGATACAACCCAAGTATGGTCAAGATGGACAAACCCCGAATTGCCTCGGTTGTCTATCTTTATGTCTGTGCCTACTGTCTATGCTAAATTGCAACAGTATTTTAAAGCACAAGATAAGGAGAAACAGACAGAGTTGACAAAGGCTTGTAAGCAATTTCGGTTTATGGTTTCGGGATCTGCTTCGTTGCCTACTTCTTTGCGTAATGATTGGCGTAAATTAAGTGGTGGACAAGTTTTACTGGAACGTTATGGCATGACAGGTAATGCGTAATTCTTTCCATCTAACTCTGCTGACGTACATGTAGAAATTGGGATGGCATTAAGTCAAGAATATGTGATTTGGGAAAGAGTGCAAGGGACTGTCGGTATGCCTTTACCTGGTGTACAAGTCCGTATTATTTCTTCAGAAACAAATGAAGATGTGACAGAACAAAGACAAGTGCCTGGTATGTTACAAATCAAGGGCCCTACTGTCTTTAAAGAGTACTGGCAAAGACCTGAAGCGACCAAAAAAGAATTTACGGAGGATGGATGGTTTATTACGGGTGATGTGGCTCAACGCATTGGTCATCGTGGCTATTATCAAATCATGGGTAGAAACAGCATTGATATTATCAAGGTAAGCCTATGACATTATCTTCTCGTACTTACAAAACCTAGACGGGTGGTGAAAAAGTATCAGCCCTTGAGATTGAAAGAGAATTGTTATCTGCTAATTTAGGTATTCAAGATGTAGCTGTTGTAGGTGTACCTGACCCTGAATGGGGTCAAAAAGTAGCTGCTGTGGTTGTATTAGAACAAGGAAAGGTAAAGCTATCCTCATGATAAAAAGAAAAAAACGAATGACTTAATCTCAGCAGGAACTTGATTTATTAACCATGAGAAATACTTTGAAAAAACAACTGGCTGTTTATAAAGTCCCTGCTCTATTAAAAATTGTGTCTGAATTACCCAAGAATGCAATGGGAAAAGTGACCAAGAAAGATGTAGTTGCTTTATTTTAGAATTAAAAAAGAATGTTGTCCCTCCTTTTTTTCTCTTTCTCTCTTTTATGTATTCTTTATTGAAATTATCCGTCTTTTTGATTTTGTCTCATCATGTTATGCTTTCTCAGCAGTGCCTGAGTATTTCAAGGCCCAAGAATAATTATGCATTTGCTTTGGCATCTGTGAGTGACTCGCCTGCTGCAGCATGTTATTTTGAATGTGGAGCACAAATCGTGACACAATCCATCAATCGTGGTGATATGGCACAATTGACATTATTTGATAGTGAAGCACAAGATTTGATTTCTTCTGGGTTCTTGCAAGTGGGACAAACTTATCTTTTGGTAAATCATGTATTGTATTTTCAATGAACTTATAGATGATATAGAATCATTTGGGCATGAACGATGCTGATGGAGGTAAAGTATGGTATAAAATAACACTTGTTAAACTCTTGTTCAGGCAATGGTCTGGGTTGTATGGAAATAGTAGCGTAAGTCCATGGTTAGATAAAAGTAGGCAATGAACTGTTCGGTTTCTTAGAGAAAACAATATCCATCATTACCCTTTATCTCATAAGATATGCTCTCAAGCCAATGTTGCTATTTGTGGATTTTATGGTGATGTAAGTATGTACCATGATATAAGGCATTCATTCTTTGTCACTATAGCAATCCATTCCAGTCCGTCCTTCTTCTTCCACTTCTGCTTCTTTAATAAGGACTAGCACAACCAATTCTATTATCACTGAAAGACCTCGTCAAACAAGTACTCGTTCTGTTTCATCTACCGTAGTTACTCCTCGAGTTATTCCCTCCGTTGTTCCCTCCGTTGTTCCCTCCGTTGTTCCCTCCGTTGTTCCCTCCGTTGTTCCCTCCGTTGTTCCCTCCGTTGTTTCCTCGCAACAACAATTTACTCTGAATGGTCAGCACTATTACATTGTAAACAAGACTGGTAATACTCTCAGTGAAGCAATAGCTGCCTGTAAAGACGTAAAAGCCAAATTAAGTGATATCACCACAAGCAATCATAAACAAATTGCTGCTGAACTCTTAACATTACGCGGCAGAGATAGATTGATTATTGGATCATGGAATGGAGACAACTATAAGCTCAGTGGGAATGAATGTCTGATTATCAACAACGGTATCTACCCAGGCACTTGTGCAGAAGCCTCTGCTGTTCTATGCAAAGCATAATCGTTTATTTAAATGGTATCATCAAGATTAAGTTATCTGTTTACTTGGTTATCTGTTTCTCTAGACTTGATATTTTATCCAATAAACTCATGTATCTGTCTTCATTGGCTTGTGTCTTATTGGTCAGTCGCTCACACATGTCAACATAGCGCATATTCATTCGTGTCATGGATTCATAGTTGTCTTTAATCATCTGTATTTGTGCTTCTTGTCTGTTCATTGATTGTTCCATAAACATTTGCTGTGTGTCTAGTAAATGCTTGATCACAGAATGTCCTTCCTCTGTCTCTTCTCGTTTACGTTTATGAGATTGAACACTATCTTCATCATAGTCTAATGCATTCTCAGGCACAGGTAAATGGCTCAAATAGAGATCCATGTATTGGAAATGGTTCCAGTAAGAAACAACAGGCAGAGGTTGTTGAAGACCTGATTGACGGTGTTGCATCATCAGACAGGCACGTTCTGCATTGTATTTAGCCAACAACTGATCCCATTTCTGCTTTATGTCAGGTAGTGTACGTTGATCTGATGTGATGCTTGTGTATTCGGTGGTTAGGATTGTCCAGGCCGCTTTGGACTTGTGCGTGTCTTCACTGGAGAGACCACTGTAGTGTTTGCGATGAAGTTGAATCAAGACAGCCACATTGGCTTCAGACCAGTATTGATACTTGTATGGACGAGGTTGTGGTTTTACCTTTATCTGATTTTTACCTTGGCAGTTTTTGTCTTTTGATGAAGGAGACGTGTTCACAGGGGGATGTGGTGCAATAGGTGTTGTATTAGTGTTATGAGGCGTAGAAGGACTGACATTGGCAGATGAGGCTGCTTTTCTGTTTCCTTGATTAGCATTCACCATCTTTTCACCATTGAATGTTTGCGCGACAAATATACTGTTTGTCATTATATCTCTACAGGATAAAAAGACACATACACACACACACACACAAAAGAGGGAGAAAACTTTTCTTGACTTGACACTTTGAGTCTCCGATATCGACTATGAAATCCACATAGCCCATTGGCCCAATCAAAATGCTGTCAAGGCCGGAGTTAACAAACACCCCCCTCCTCATCACTTTATGTATGTCAGTCAAGAGAATTTTTTTTTTTATTATTGATCTCTCTTCTTTTTTTTTTTCTTCTTTTTCTCTTCCCATCTTGTTTTTAAAAAGAGAATCATAAAAAGCAATCATGTAAGTATAAAAGAGGAGAAGAAAGTCGAGATGAACGCGTATCATTAGGTCTTCTGCTGCCCTGAAAATGATCAATCCCAACTCGGATGTTGCCCGTCGTGGTCAAGCACTTCAACTGAACATTACAGCTGCGATCGGTTTACAAGAAGTACTTAAATCCAACTTAGGTCCTCGAGGTACTATTAAAATGTAAGCATACCCAAAAAAAAAAAAGAAATGCACAAAAAGGATGACGCGTGATGATGATCATCATCTGGTCTAGATGGAAGCTAATCCTACCTTAGGTTGGTGGATGGTGCTGGTGCTATCAAGCTTACCAAGGACGGTAAAGTCTTGTTGAGTGAAATGGTATGTGAGATGCGTTCTGTTCATCTTGTATTCATAGCACGTTTTTTTAATATAGCAAATTCAACACCCTACAGCCGCCATGATTGCAAAGGCTGCTACTGCACAAGATGAAATCACAGGTGATGGCACTACTTCCATTGTGTTGTATGTTGGTGAACTCTTGAAACAAGCTGAACGTTACATTTCTGAAGGTCTTCATCCTCGTGTCATTACAGAAGGTTATGATTTAGCAAAGAAAGAAGCTTTAAACGTAAGTTCCCTCTCTCTTTTTCTCTCTCATTCGTTTTTTCAAAGAACAAGTACTTACTCTGACTAGTTTTTGGAATCATTCAAGACACCTCAAGCTGAGATTGACCGTGAATTGCTTGTGTCTGTTGCCCGTACTTCGCTTCGTACCAAGGTGCACCGTGCCTTGGCTGATACGTTGACAGAGGCTGTTGTGGATGCTGTCTTGGCCATTCATCGTGAAAATGAGCCTATTGATCTTCATATGGTTGAAATTATGAAGATGCAGCATCGTTCTGAGACAGAATCTAGACTTGTTCGTGGTCTTGTCATGGATCATGGTGCCCGTCACCCTGACATGCCCAAGAAGATCAAGGACGCCTTTGTCTTGACCTTGAATGTCAGTCTTGAATACGAGAAATCAGAAATCAACTCTGGTTTCTTTTATTCTACACCTGAGCAGCGTGACAAGTTGATTGAGAGTGAACGCAAGCATGTTGATGATAAGGTGAGACGATTAGTCGAGTTTAAGAATGAAGTCTGTTCAGGCGAACATGCTGGTCGTGGCTTTGTGATTGTGAACCAAAAGGGCATTGATCCTCTCTCGTTGGATTTGTTGGCTAAGCATGGTATTCTAGCTCTCCGTAGAGCCAAGAGAAGAAACATGGAGCGTCTTCAATTGGTCTGTGGTGGTGTTGCTCAGAACTCAGTAGATGATTTGACACCTGAAGTACTTGGTTTTGCTGGCAATGTCTATGAACAAGTCTTGGGTGAAGAAAAGTTTACTTTTATTGAAGATGTCCAAGATCCTTACAGTGTGACTATCTTGGTCAAGGGTCCTAACCCTCATACGATTGCACAAATCAATGATGCTGTCCGTGATGGTCTTCGTGCTGTCAAGAATGCGATTGAAGATAAATCAGTTGTTGCTGGTGGTGGTGCTTTTGAAGTAGCTCTTGCTCAACATTTAGTTCAATACAAGAAGCAAGTCAAAGGACGTGCCAAGATGGGTGTTCAAGCCTTTGCTGATGCTATGATGGTGATTCCTAAAGTACTTGCTCAAAATGCAGGTTTTGATGCACAAGATGTGATTGTTGCCTTGCAAGATGAACATATGGATGGCCATGTGGTTGGTGTTGATCTAAAGACAGGTGAAACGATGGATCCTAAGCTTGAAGGTGTCTGGAACAATTACCGTGTTCATCGTCATATGCTTCATTCATGTTCTGTTATTGCAAGCAATCTTTTATTGGTTGATGAAATGATGCGTGCAGGCAGAACTTCATTGAAGGGACCTCAAATTGGAGAATAAAATATTTGTATTTTGACAGAAGGGTTACACTTATTTTCTTGACGATAACAAAATCCAAACAGACACATCTCCGATAATACAAGGTGATCATTTAACTATCTGTTGACACACGTGCCTATAGTCATGATACTATATACACTGTATATTCATCTAAGTCTTGTATGTATCCTATCTGGTGTGGAACCCTAAATAAGGTTAAAGTTTCCAAAAGGGAAGAGGAGGGGGGTCTCTTTATATCAGATAATTAATTTATAAAATAAGGGTTCAAATCAACATTTAATTTTTAAAACTCATTTTGATACTCTTTAAAGAACGTGTTTGAATTTCCTATTAATGCCTTGAAACAATATATGATGTATTGGGATGTAGTGCAACATTAACTTATTAAACACAAAATAAATCAATAAAAAAAAAAAAAGAGTCCCTTATACACAGTGTATATTTTGTCTTTTTAAGCTCGTAATATTTAATTTCTTTTTATATAGATATCAATTACTTTAATAGAAAAGTAACACAAAAACAAAGTCATGATAGCGTCAATATATATATACATACACAAGTTGTTGTTATATCACGATCTTATTCTTTCTTGTTAGAGCTCAGCTTATTTTAAAAAAAGTTTTTTTTTTTCTTTTTTTTTTTTTTTTTTTTTCTTTTTCATAGTATAGAATATAAAAATAAAGTGAAAAGAAAGAGAAAAGAGTAGTGTGTGTGAATCATTTTTCTTTTGTATGTTTTATTGACTCTTACATATATAATATATAATATAATATAATATAATATATATATATAGACGATGCATAGATCACCTTCCACTTGTTTGGGTCAATCGACATCCGAGATGCTTCACTTCCATCCTCAAGCAGAAGACATATTAACAGACGAAGACTTGTTAGAACTCTTTCGAGTTGTTAAACAAATCATTCGTAAAAAACCAGACCCAGAACGAATAGCCAAATTGTATTTTTGTATTGTGTATGCTATGGGAGATCATTATCAGTTCTATAAACCTATTCATACAGACCAACTTGTATTTCGAGACGAAACAAGTGCAACATTGGCTGAGGTCCAACTCCCTTCTTCGGTAACATGCTGTCATCCTGACTCTCCTAGCAACCATAACAACAACAATACAGTGGCTGTGCCTCAACGTATTTTATCTGTATCTTACCTGACGAATCCCTCTCCCAGTCCTCAATTGCCTCAAATGAACACTCGTGAAGAAACAAGTACAGATCAATACTCTGTTAGACCCTATACAAACATCAGACCCATCTATCCTTCAAGTCTACAGCCTCCTTGGTCACCTATTGAGCATAGTCCCTCTCATTTAGGCAGATACCCACATTTGAATACCTTAATGAACACGAACAATGAAGTCTTGATAGAACCTAAACAGAGGGGATTTTATTATCAAGATGGAAGAATCTCAAGAGAACCGGCTTTATTACAACGCTTTGCTGAGCAGGGCGTATTGACACAAGCCTCTTTAATGCGAAAAAGAAAAAAGACATTGCATGATACGGATTATCCTTATGAACTCTCTACTTTACCTGCACCCGCCAAGAAACCCAAAATTCCTCATCGTCATGGTGAATTTAAACAAAGACGTAATAGCTTGATATATGTATGTACATACTGACGAGTAACTTTAGGTGATGATATTATCAGTCGTATGCGGACCATTATGATGGCAGACTTGGAACAAAAAGCACAACGATTACCCTCTGACTTTACACTCGCTATCGAAAAAGCAGCACTCCCACCTAACCTCAACCCAGATGAACTCAGTACAGATGAAGCAAGCCAATTACTCGCACCTGCCTTACGTATCCTGACTGAACATTCCAACATGAAGCCTCATTTGGACAACGGCATGAACCAAAACGGTATTTATTACAACAATGACTATTTTAGACTTTACCTGGCCTTTATTCAGTTTCAAGAGATCTTTGCCCAACTGTTTCCGAATGAAGTGATCAAAATGGCTACCCTCTCTTCTTCAGACGATGTCATGTCCCCTAGTATGGCTGAACGAGACAAGGACCGAGAACGGAATGCAAACATGAAGGCTTATCGTGGCTGGATTGAACCATTTTTGACTGAAACTAATTGGGCTGCTTTCAGAAGAAACATCATGGTGGGTGAACGTATCATGCAGCTCACTAAGGTAGTGGGACAAGGTGTCTTGCTCATGACGAAAGAACTCAGTGGTTCTAAACTTCATTTGACGTTTACCAACAATGAATGGGACGAATTCATTCAAGGTCTCTCTGCTGGCTTATGGGACGAGACCATCGACTGGAGTCATGAAGAAGACAATAGTATGAGTGAACAAGACCGAAAAAACGTTCATGGTTCATTATTGGTAAATGAATTGAGACTCAAATTTGCAACTCACTTTTGGTTCACAGAAGAAGGTACTGTCGTGCCACCTGCAGAACGAAAAGCCGCTAGAGCAAGAGAACGTCAACATCAATCTAAATCATCATTATAACAAATCTTTAGTGTACATGTTTAAGAAAGAATTTTATGCCCCTTTTCCCCCTTTTCCTCTCTTTTTATATATTCTAGAAGTATGTATATAATTATAATAACAATAAAAAACTACCAAAAAAAAAAAAAAAATGACGTTCATTATTTTCGTTCTTTTTCTTTCGACTGGATTGTGTTCCCATTTATTATTTTAGCCTTGTCGGTGTCATACAATCCAATCAATCTGGTCTCACTTTACGGTAACTCACGGTGCAAGTATTTTTATCTCGATAAAAAAAAAAAAAAAGAAAAAGAAAAAAAACTTTAAGCCGAATAAGGTAATCATCTGCAGGGGCTTCCTCAATTTCCTTTCCTTTTTTGAATATTCACAAATTGTAAGCGATTCTGAGCTTCTCGATTACACTTTAGGAATTAATTTCCAACTCTTGAGATTCTGTGTAAGATCCCCCCCAAAAAAAAAAAAAAAAAAAAAAGGAGAAAAACACGCTGCATTGTGTGACGAATATGGTTCATCCCTTGATAGTAGTCGCTATGAATAGAATAACCGTAATTTCGCTTACGTATCTTTTTTATATACATTTTTAAAGACAAAAAAAATTGCATGATCTTCATCCTTGAATAAGTTTTTTAAGGTACAAACGATAAATTGTGTAGAACAAAAATTTAGATTATTTATTAAAAGAACTCATACTTGGTGTAGCCACTTTTTGTATCAATCACCACTTAGTTAGTATCGGCTTTTCCTACTTCCGACCAAGCGCGCAGCATATTCTTGGCCGAGATCCTCCTACTCTTGTCAAAGTATCGACTTGACGTTTTCGATAGTGTAAGCCTCAGACTTTCTGTTGCCCACAAGCCTTTCAAGATCAATTCCAAATATGCTCGATGGAGTTCAGATCAGGGATTTAAGCAGGCCAGTACTCAAAGCACCTGATCTGATGAGTGTTCTTCCACCATCGAGCATAGGCACCCGTGTGATAAGTGGCACCATCTTTTTGCAAGGTGAAGTCCCTGTCTTGTGTTGTTGTGAGCTCCATTAACCAAGGATGAAATGTCTAGGCCAAGATATTGACATAGGCGGAGTCCTCTTCAACAATAGTCAAAGGCCCGAAACCCCTAGCCCAAAATCACCCCCCCCCAGACCATAATACCCTTTGACTGTCGAGACGGTGTATCGCTCACCAATCTTTTGAGGCATTCTTCTGTCTAAATTGCTAAAAAGACAAAACTTTCATTTGACTAGATGGAATGACGCCATTGATCGTCTGTCTAGTTGACCTCACTGCTGACACAGCAAAGTCTTTTCTTTCTCTGCTGCTATAAACGATTGGAAGCCCATTCGATGAGTAGCTGGGATCACAGTGTCTCTGTGAACATGGATGCTCATTGTTACAAGTTCTTTTTTTTTTTGATTTGTTGTAGGAAGCAAAAAGGGGTTCTTCCGAATGATACAACCAAGGTGTCTCTCAGCCCTCTCATTAAATTTGTAGGGCTTCACGGTTGGTTTAGTAGGAAGAGAGCTGCTAGTTTTCTCAATTCTTTTGATGATGCTTCCGACAGTAGATAAAGGCCATTCCACCCAAAACATCTTTCATCATGATTAATACAAGATTTTACCTTAATACTAGACAATCTTATTTTTTTTGGATGAATAGTTAATAAACAAACGCATACTATTAAGTGATTAAGGAACAAAGACAAATTAAAAGTTTTTCTTGTTGTATTTGGAAATGGTATGTTCAACAAAGATGTAGTAAAGCTCAAAGGCGTACGTCGTGGTGCTGTCGGAATCCTGTGGAGGTGCCTTAAGAAAAGGAATCTTCTGATTGTCCCTATCAATCAATACCTAAGATATGCAACACTTGTAAAACTAGGACGATGGTAAATCACCCTGATGTCAAAGGACATAATGTACTTGCCTGTACAACTTGTCATACATTTTGACAGAGAGGAATTAGTGCAGCAAAAAAGAAAAAGCACTTGATTTCTCTTTCTGTATGGAGTGGATACTGAATGCCGAAATGTTCAGAAGAAGCAGTTCATAGACTTCATTTGTTCTAATCGCCGTAATCAACACGGTTTTACCTAGTACGGATTTAGATTGTATTACAGTTATGCGACTGTAGAATAACCGTCCTGTTGACCTTGAAATTTTTTTTTTTTACTCCCCATGTTGGTTATCCATATATTTTCTTTTGTTATTATTCTTTCTTTTTTTGTAATATGCAGAGTAAACGTTCATTTGGCGACGCCTTCATTTCAGAAGCCAATGAAAAGATAGTATCACTTGTAGCTAAAGAGAAAGGCTTTCAAGGTATTCAGCCACAAGCCTTAGCATCCTTTTCTAACGCGTTGGGTTCTTGTAAGCATACAGCCTATTGACTTGATCACTCATATGCTTTATATAGATATTGAAACCATGTTTACAAAAGCCCATTTATATGCAGAACTTGGGAATCGATCTAAACCGAATATACACGATATTACAAGATCCTTACAAGATGCAGGGCTTGATATAGCTGCTTTTAAAGACTACTTGTACACACAACACCAATATACCAACAAAACCTCATGCTTTAAAGTAAACATAAAACCTTCTACATTAGAACAGATACCTAGTTTTTTACCATCTGATAATGAAGAATCTGATGAAGAAGACATGGAAGGACAAGAGGGAGGTGTGCCTGTCTATGTTCCTCGTCATTTACCTAGTTTTCCTAGTAAACATTCCTTTCGACAAACACCTGTAAGTGAAGCTACATGAGTAAGCCTGTCACTGATGGCTGGAATAGATTTATATTGATCGACCTGATGATCCACAAAAAGTAAGAGAATTGAATTCAGAACAATCACGTACAGTAGAAGAAAATCTCAAGAAACTCATGTCTGCTGAAAACAAACTGCTTAAACAATCCAACGGTGTTTCAATGGACATCTTTGAGACTTCAAACTTGGAACAAGGCATGATGATGCCTATTGTAAATTATGAAGTTTTTTTACAGCGAAGAAAAAAGCAGAAACAATCAGGTACAACACTGAATGTAGAAGGATCTGATGTACCTAAGCAAAACACTTCAGTGCAAGAAGAACATCAAGATGAGATACCAACGCAAGAACAAGACATGAATCATCATTCTGCTTAATAAAAAAAATTTTTTTTGAAATGACTTTGTTGCTATCATGAGCATCTTTAGGGTCAAATGGATGATGGAGATCTCATACACCATTTTGTCTTATAAAACCAGCAATAATAGTGTGCTTATTTTTCAAATGAATTTAATCACCGATGAATCTGAGCTAATAGTAAAGATGCATTATCTGATGCAATAGCTACAACCCCTTTGTGTTAGTACTAACGCGGTCTAATGCATACGAGGTGTCAGTACTAATGCGACGGAGCCATTAACTAACGCAGTTTGTTTTAGCTGTTTGATTCTCAGGAACTCATATTACTGGTGCTCTTTAATTGCATTTGTCATTATTTAGAATGGATTTGGTTTTTCATCAAATGCATCGAATTAATTTCATTATAAATATATATATATATATATATATATATAGATCATATTACACTAAACAGATGGTTCCATTATCCATATCACTTCTTTAAGCACTAGCTTCGATACATTCATCCTCGTCAAACGATGTCAAGCGTGTTAGAAACGCTATAAAAGAGTTACGCAATAGAAATAAAAAGAAACAGCACAGCTTTTTTTTTTTTTTTTTTTTTTTTTTTTTTTTTTGCTCACAATAGAAGATGAGGCATTAAAGAAGTGTATCAAAGAAAGAAACACAGCCAAAGGATATGCAAAAATTAAGAAAGAAAAAATATTGTACAAAAAGATAATATTTATCGTAAACTCACGCTATTCTGTTTATGAGACATGTTTTTTTTATCATAAATAAAGGCTATAGTATGCGCTAATAAAGAGCTAAGATTCATTTTGTCTAAATACTTAAAAACAAAACAAAACAAAGAGCACTAGAGCTATAAGCGAAGCTATCTGGAGCGTTGTAGAAAAATGCTAGTATGGTAACTATAGATTTTGTCTTTAACTTACAGTGTAAGGTTGTTCAATAGAGAAAAGAATATCTATACAACAAAACTATTAGCCAGCAGAACAAGCAGAATGGGTTTTATACCCTTCACTTGCAAGCAGAATGATAACTTCCAGGAAAAAGTAAGCACAGCCACTTGGCAATTGAGTTAAAAGAAAGAAAGAGTGAAAGTTGAGAGACGGAAGGAAGTTTACAGCCAACAAGTGTATTTACAACCGCATTCTTTTACCAAGATAGAACTAAAAAAATAAAAACAAAAAGAATCGAGAGAAACTTGGCCTTTTTAAGTCGGCAGAATCTGCATCTTTCTTTAGTCAATGTGTTGCACTTGGTACAAGAAAATGATTGCTTGGTTTGTATGATCTTGCTTTAGTTTATGATCCAAATTCGAAATCTATTTCTACTATTTTTTTTTTCAGAAATTTGTAGTATCATCAAGTTGATCTATGGCAGGCGGTTTTGAGTATCAAAACAAATCGTACTTTTGACATCGACCAAGAAAAAAAAAACAAAGTACCTTTTCTTTGATTGCGACCATCTCCAAATCGTCCCAGCATGTCGATTTCACAATCTTGACAGTGATGTGTAATACCAAAATTACAAATGCGGTGATACGTTGCGTGCGATAACTTTATGGTAAACATTGAAATAAACTGCAATGATGCGTAGAGTCCTTAAACGAAAAAGGGCGCTGCGGTATGAGGATGGAAATAAAAAAAAAGTGATAAAGTGACATTTTAAATACCTCGATAGCAGTTAAAATGCTCTGTGATGCAGAATTGCTTCAGGTGGTGAGGGAAATCATTACTGTTATTGCCAAACGTATTTTATAATAACAAACTGTTTTATCTAATGCTGGTCTTACAGTTCATAATGCGAAAATTGCACTTACTAACGATATTCGCTTCTACTAATGCAAAATATTATGAATAATGTCACTTTGCGTTATAAAAAGATAATTGGTGATAATACTCAAATTAAGTTATTTTTGTTCTTTTTTCTGCGAATCCTGCATGGAACAAAAAACGAAATATATCTACCAGCCAAAACAATAGTGCTATTCAATTTCTAGACGCAAAAAAAAAACATGTGTCAAACAAAAACGAACTGTTTTGATAATCTTGCTGTCGAGCAATGGCGCATCCAAGGATGGTGCATTTAAGCTGTGATTCGAGCATTTTTACTCTGGATGTAATCTAAAAATTATTCTCAATTTATCTTTTTAAAGTATCCTATAATAATTTGGGTGGCAAAGAACATAGGGAGATAGAAATACTGGTACTTCATAATCTAAATTGAGGATAAATAAACATAGGACATACAGGATAGCTATGAGCGGAGATCGAAATAGAGCAATTCCAAGTCTTTATCCTACCGCATCAGAAATCAAGTTTTTGCTCAGAACTGCATAAGGGCACAGCTTTATGCCTTTGATTTAGTGACAAAAATTGTAGATAGTTTCTTTATGAATCTATAAATGTAAGAAACAGAGAAAATTTTCTGTTGGATGTCGTTCCTAATCCAGCCTCTATTGCCTCCATTCTAACTTCAGATGTGGTACTAGCTCTCTGAGCCGCGCTTTTTTATTCATAGTTTAAAATTCTATAATAAAAATTGATTCCATCTAATACTATGTTTCTTTATAACTTTCTAAGCCGCGCATTCGTGGAACACACTATGAATAGTTTTAGTAACAATAATGTAGCACAAGATCAACAAAATATCAACCTTAAGCCCGAACAGTTGAAAACTCTCTTCCAACAGTTTGCCAATAGGCTCAAAACACAAGAAAGAGGACGAGGAGATACGCAGTACCTTCCTAGTAAAATCATGGCAGACATGGACAAAACTCCCTCATGAACCTTCGAAAATCATTACCAGAAGACCATACAGTATTTCTTGCTTATATCGGAAATCAAGCCCAAGTCCGCTTAATAAAACCTACTACAGTAACAAACATCTTGAAAAATATGATGGCTAATGCTGGAATTGACACAAACAAATTTGGTCCCCGTTCTATTCGGTCAGCCTCCAGTACAAAAGCAGTTCAATTAGGCCATAAAATTGAAGAAATTAAGAAACATGCAAATTAGAGTCTATCAGCAGATACATTTGAAAGATTTTACTTCAAACCTTCTCATCAAGACTGAAGCAGCAGAAAAGCATGTCATCAGTTTTTTTCTGTTACTATAAACAATGCCACATCTGAAGTCGGAATGGAGGCAACATATCGATTAAAATATTGAGCAAATGTGTAAAAATGTTTACAAGGTCTTTTGCTCTTATCTCATCACTTTTATGGTATAGCTGCCAATCAAACATTTTCAGCAAAAACTAAAACTTTTTGTGCACATTTTGAGTACTTAAGCTTGCCAATAGCTTTGTTTTTGGACTTGTAGCGTCAAAAAGAAGAACAAAAGTTGTCAAGTTTGATATTTTCATAGGTAACATCCTTTGGTCAAGAGGCATACTTTGATCATTTTTACAAATCGCTTTTTTTTTGTCCAAATCAACTCCAAAGGTACCATGGATGTTAGTGAACATAGTTTTGAGGTACTTGGAGTATTTATGCGTGTATAAATGGGCCTTATGCTATCTTTATATGCCCAAAAAAGCAAAGATGATTTGTCTTTTTTTACTGTTGAAGCATTTATGTGTCTAACGTCTCTGTTACATGAGTAAATATACTATTCATATTTATTCACATAGAAAATATCATTAAAGCACACTTGATCCATTGAGCTGGTAAATCTGGTGATCTGACTTTACGTGATGTTTCACCTAAGGAAAATCAAATGTGCACAAGCCATGTAATTCAGGACTGCGTTGTCCTTATTTTGCTTTGCCAAACTCGATATGTTTCTATGCGAAATAAAACCATGCTAGAGCTTTTGTTGAAATAAATTTATTGACGTAAAGCATTCTTAAAAATGGTTCCTTGAAATTGACACAAAAAAAAATGACTGGCATGAACCATATTGAATTATCTATGGAGATCTTTATAGTAACTTTTATCTCTGTAAATAACGCAAACAATTGCACCTTTCGCTGTACCTAGTTAATGAATGAATGTGGCATTAAGAAACTAGCGCTATAAAGCCTAGTGTCACTTATGAAAGAATTTGTTTATATTCAATATATTCTTGTTTAAATTGCGTATTTCGAAGCATTCGATAAAACTGCATGGCAGAGTTTGGCCACAGTACTCTAATTTCACCATGGTTCATATACCAAGACTGGCAACCACCAAGCCATACAGTGCCCTTAAGTCCCTGTTGAATTTGATCTGCATAAGCTTCTTGTGATTTTACATTAGGTTCTAGGCACGTCAAATTGTTCTTTATCATGTACTTGATTATCTCAATACTATACTCTACTTGGCTATGTGGATTGTATCAATACAGCATCGCTTAAAAATCAAGATACTTACGATTCAATCATACCAACCACAGAACTATGACCCAATGCAGATCCAGGACCCAGCAGAAAAAAAAGGTTAGGAAATTGATGTACATTGATTGTCTTGTGTGTCTTGATTGGATTTTGTTCCCACAGTTGGTTTAGATGACAGCCATCTCGGCCAAACACTTGAAGGTCACCCAAGAAATTATGTATATCGAATCCAGTCGCAAGGCAGAGTGTATCGACTTCAACCTGTTGACCATCAGTTGTGATGATGGTCTTGCCTTGAACCTGAACGATAGGCGATGTTTGGACTGTAACGTTCTTCCGACACAAAGCAACCAAATAGTCGTCAGAGAGACAGATACGTTTACAAAAGACAGGAAAAGTAGGAATCAAAGACGAGATTAATTCGGGTTTACCATAATGTTGGAGCATATCCCGCATGTATTTTTCCAATGAAGATCGAAAAGTCGAATGTATTTTACTCTTGACGTCTTTTAGGGCTCTGAAAACGAAGAGGTCACGATACAAGAAAATCCAAGCACGATAAATCCACATCAAAAAGGGAAACCAAGTAAATAGGCACTTGACCCAACCAGGGTATGTCTTTTGGTGTTTAGGAGCCACCCAAGAGGGCGTGCGTTGAAAACTATAGAGATGTTTGACACGAGAAGCTAAATTTGGTATGATTTGAATTGCACTAAATACAAAATAAGACGCTTTTGGACTAGTTAATCCATCTTACCTTGTACCACATCCTATAACAGCAATGGTCTTGTCAGTAAAATCATAATTATTATCCCAATAAGCAGAATGAATGATTTTGCCTTCAAATGATTTAAATTCATCAGGAATGTGAGGTATACGCAAAGCACCCACACCAGAAAACCTATTTAAGAAAAATAGTTCAGCTGGCTATGCTTTTTGTTTGTAGAAGTTACTTGCACAAAATCAAATTCCTTTGTCTGGTCAGATATAGTCAACTGCCACTTATTTATGTCTTGTTTCCATAATGCTTTTGTTACTTTTGTATTTAAATCCACTTGTTCATAAACTTTGTATTTTCTGGCTACATGCTGTAAATAAGCATGAATTTCCTTTTGAGAGCTATAGACTTGACTCCAATCTGATCTCAATATGAACACATTGCATACATAGCCATGAAAACTTACTAGGATTTAATTCAAAACTGAAGGAATATAAATGGCTTTGGATATCACAAGCACATCCTGGATAAGTATTGTAATTCCATGTGCCACCAACATCGTCTGTTGCTTCAAACACCTCTGCTATAATTCCTAACTTCTTTCTCAACTGGATAGCAGCACAAATACCACTAAAACTTAAAAACATTGGAGGTCAATTCATAATTCTATGTCTTTTATAGCTTACCCACTGCCAATAATAGCTACTGTTGGTTTGTTCATGATACAAAAAAAAAAAAAAAACAAAAGGGAAAAAAATAATTACTTGCATAATTATTTATAGGATCCAAAAAACACAAGAGGGAGAAGATACATGAGAACATGCTTAAGATTAGATGATAATGCTTCAGGTACCGCTCGAGATATTCATACGTACCAATGCCTAAATCACTACATCATTATCTAGTCTTAAGCACGACTTTTTTTGGTCTAAAGCATTTTTTAATATGTTAGTCTGGCCAATTTTGATGGTGCTCCAGATGTTGCTATAATCCCTTGTAAAAGACTGTGTCCCTTAAGTATCAAGTGGCAAGTAATTAAAGGCATTTTAGCAGGGTATTAGTACTACTATCTTTAGCATTGAGAAAAACAAGGTATAAAGAGCAGTGAATGAAAAGCTTGATACATCCTTTTTAGTATATATTAAGGGGTAGCCCTCATGACGGCTCTTTTCTCTAGGACATAATCGTACTAAATGCTTTTATGGAAGCATTGTATTCAAGACGCTCTATATGGCTATTTTCACTTTATACGATGGTCTTGTTTCTTTAAACAAGACTTTTATCCAATACAAACCCCCCAAACAGGATACTCGAATGTTATTCTGCAACCAGTTCATTATTTGTAGTTTATTAAACATATTTGTATATAAAAGCAGTTGATAAGCACTCTTGAGCTTTTGTTCCATTGAACCATCCGCATGCTACATTTAAATTGAGAACACATATGACCTGCATAAATATTTGAGCAATCGTATTTCACGCAAGGATCGTTTGGCGCTACCAACATGAAAACCAAAGTCTTCACCTGCGGAGTCTGAAGCCATAAAACAAAAGGACGGGGGGCTGTTGAAAATTTTATTTCGCTCTTTGTTTGACACATTATGGCTTTCCGTGCACCACCTACTGGCCTTGCTCAACATGTCTCCAACATGTTAAAGGGCAACTTGATGAAAAAGACACCTGTTTGGCTCCCTGTGCTTCAAGCCATTCCTCCTGGACCCAGTATCATTCGTTCACAAAACCCTCAAGTGAATGTATCCGGTCAGACTGAGATCGAACAACAATTGTTCACAAAGACCCAACACAAGACTCGTCTTCGCCACTCTCAAAAGCACTTGCGTACACCTCCTCCTCGACCCCGTGCTATTGTGTATCCTGAAGATCGATTGAGAAGAGTGTTTTATAGAGATCATCCTTTTGAATTGTCAAGACCTAAAGTATTGGTGGAAAATGAATTGGGCATCCATCGTACTGATTTCAGTAAACTCATGTTGGATGGTATGCATCCTTCTCAGATTGACGGTGAAGCGTAAGTCATGTTGATGCCATAGCTTAGACTTACCATTCTGTCTAGTGTGATTAAATATCAACTTCACTTGATGACACATGAACATATGCCTGAAAGAAAAGCATACGCTAAAGCAACATCTGAATTCTATGAGATTAGAGCACAGCAAGAAGAACAAGAAAGAGCAGCAAGAGAAAAAATGAACAACCTGTTGCAAAAGATGGACATGACAAGACCACACACAAAACGAGGATTAGAGTTAGAAGAGAGAGCATTGAGACAAGGACAATTGAACCAATTTTAATAAAAAAAAAACAAGTTTATTCTTCTTCTAACCTTGTCAAGGCTAAATTCAAACGAATGGCCAGTCGATGTTCAAAGTCATGTTTGCCATGATCCAAAGCCATCTCCCATACTTGTCGGCATTTTTGCTTGAGGTTCATGGATTGACAAGAGATACCAGCTTCCCATAAAGCATAAGGCACTGTCCAGGTATCTTGTGAAATGTGTTCTTTATGGTCTATGACCCAATTGATGTCCAGTGTGATATCTTCAGCACGGCCGAGTGCATTCAACATGGAGGATTTGATGACTAGCAAACAAGCGCGTTCATCAAAATAGTTAGGTACAGGTGCATCAGGCGCAATTTCCTTCATACGTTCTTCTTGTTCTGCTTGTTCTGCTTTTTGAATACTGGCTAATGCAGTCTGAATACGATTTAAAGAGAGTGTAAGTAATTCAGGACTCATGTAAGTAAACAAGTTCCAGATACACATAAATTCAAGCAAAGGACTAAAGAAATGAAGGTTTTGATAACCACTCTGTTGGAACATGGTCACTTTACGCAACACATAGGTATCGATGTCAGAGAGCTTCTTGCCTGCTAAATAAGGTATTTGGGCAAATAACAAGACAGCCTGTGCTCGATCCCCCATCATACCATAACAAGCACCTTGAGCATAATGACAAAAGGCTGCTGACCAATACTGTTGTTGAGTCAGATAGGCAAAGGCATTGGCTGCCTGCTGCCAATTGCCTGTGATCATGTGGTTCATGGCTATTTCAAAGCGACACGCATTGGTCACAGCTAATTCAGCCCATTCGTTCTGACTGACTTGTGTCGCATAAAGAAAAGATTGCGTCGATAAGGGTAGATCAAGGCTTTGACGTGCCATTCGACCAGCAAAATAAAGGTAAACAACAGAATCTGGGTGTTCTTTTTGAGCATCCAACAGGGTCTAGGATTGTGTTCAATACATGCCCTAACAGTCTTGTCACTTACATCCATGGCTGTCTTTTTATAGACATCGGTCATAATTTGTGGGGCAAATGAAATGGCAGAGACATAATAAGCAAGTAGCATCATGGTAGCCATAGGCGAACGTACCCTTCTCATTTGAGCACATTCATTCAACAACGTAAATCCAAGTTGTCTGTCTGGTTTCCATCCAAAGGCAGAAATGGCCTTGAGTATCTTTGCAGGTAAAGCAGACAAAACAAGATGAACAGAGCCAATCCTTTAAGACATAAGACTTTTAGGTATATCAAGATCTACTTACCCAAATCTGACTCCTGAAAGTGTATCTGAATCCATGATAGCCAAATGGTCTGTGCCCATCTTTTTATATTCCTGCCATACAAAACTATAAGAACTATAGGCTAACCTACACTAAGTAACCCTGTCAAGCATAACACAGTTACCTCGACGTAAATTCAATCCACATTTGACATAGCCTATCATAGACTCTTGCAGTAACTGTAAAATGGCTATCTGAAGACAGCATTCTGCTTTCAAGACATGAGCACGCAGTACACCATTGGCTGGATAAGCTTGGGGCCTTTGCATCTTTTTGAGATAACCAGGGATATAATCAGTGAGTTTAGAGGATGTTTTGGCTAAATCTATCTGTGTGTTGGCTATATCATACGTTGTATTGAGTGCATTTAATGCCATGGTTTGATCTTGTTCAGATGAGGTCTAATGTTGTTATTATGTATTCTTTCTTATATATAAGCTATTACCATCACAGCTATCAAGGAATGAGCTAAATATCAAAACATATATACTTGCCTTTTAAAAATGCCATTGAACTCACAGCCAAAGCACTTAGAGGATCCCTTTTGTTTACGGATTAGTACATGCTTTTTAGTTGTCCAACTTCTTTACTCATTTGATTTTTGCTCAAATAACATCTTGGCTGCCATGAATTGGTTATTCAACAAGAGATTGAAACCTTGCATGATGTTTTCATCTAGAGTAGGTGGAGTTGGCATCAACAGACATTTAGAAAGACTTGCCTTCTTTTTCTTGTTCTCGAGGATGAAGTGTGTTTAGTGTGATCTCACTTTTAGTGATCTGTACTAGATTAGCTCCACATTGACGAAGATCTCCTGTTGTTTTTTTAAGTTCAGGTTCTGAAGGAATAAAGCGTTTTGGTGAAGGAAACCCTTTTATCTCATTCTTCAAGACACTTGTTATTTCTTCTATTCTTTTTTGTTCAGAACAAGTAGATGCCATTAGCTTAAAAAAAGAGAGAGAGAGAGAGAGAGCGCAACACAATTTAATTAAGCAGTGTTACCAATTAAAAAAAAAAAATAGATGACTTTTTATTTCCTCGTCTTTCAAATGGCTTACCCCCCACTTTCTTTCCTTGTACAACAAAAAGGATATATTTTATGTAAATAGAAACTTAATATCTATCTCTTCTACCCATACGATCTCTTGATCTATCTCTACGACCACCACCTGCATATCTATCACCTCGATCTCTGTTATAACCTCTTGGAGATCTACTTCTTGAACGCATACGAGGTCGTTTTCTGTCCTCTCTGTATCCATAACCTTTATGTCCACGATCACGGTCATGATATCTATCACGACTATTACTGCTGTTATGATGTTGCATGATGGCTGCTTTCTTTTGTTGCTGTTCTCTGCCACCAAGACCACCACCTAATCTACGAGGTTTCCATCCCTTGACAGTACGAGCACGCTCAACATCTACCAAGATACGACGGCCCAAGATCTTTAAGCCATCTGCATCCTTGTATGCCGCTATAGATAGACATGTTTAATAACCTGAGTCAACTATAGATGTATTTTTTTTTTACCTCGCATGTCTTTTTCTCTTTCGAATTCTATAAAAGCATAACAACGAGACTTGCCTTCTTTATCGCGAATAAGGCGAATCTAGCACAAATTCATCAATGGACATTCGATCGTGTAAGCTTTACCTTTTTGATTTGTCCATATAATTCAAATTCTCTAGCCAAATCACTTTCAGTTAATTCAGGGCTCAAGTGAGTGACAAACAAGGTATTGAATGGATCGCCATCAATATGAGGATCCTTTTCGGGATCATCTACAAGTTGAGATTAATACAAGATGGGTCTATGAATAACACTGGTTACATTCAGCCAACTTTTGTCTCAAGTTTTCTTCAGCTTGTTTTCTCTTTGCTTCTGCCTATAGAGTATGAGTTGTGAAATCTGTATACAAGTGAAATTACTTTTTCTTTGCGCTTTTCTTCCAATGTCTTCCATGGCACATAACCTTCATCATAATGCTTGAGTTGATCCACGTAAGACGCGATGCCATCGACAATACAACCCACGCGTTTCTCTGGATCCTTGTCGAGCGGAGGAAGATAAGATAAAGGTGGACGAGGTGCAAATAATTTAAGAAGATTAGGAGGAAGTTTATCCGTCATTTGGACTTGTAAAGAACAAGAAAAAAAAAAGGAAAAGAAACAAAAAAAAAAAAAAAAATTAAATCACTTGGCATATTTCTCACTTTTATTGGGATTTCGTGTCCCTATACGACTTGATAGAAAGATCGTTATTTATTTATTTATTTATTTTCTTAATGCAAAATACGCTTCATTTACAACACTACAGAAATGTCGGTTCCTAGATCAAACACAAGTGTTAATTTCTAGATGTTTCTTTTATACTACTTGAGTGTGTATGTGTTAAAAGAGTAAAGATTTTGTGACTGGAAACAAGATCCAATGGTAAATCAAGAAAGGATACTAGCCCAGATTTTTTTTTTCCTCTCTCTCTCTCTCTCTCTCACTTTTCATCTTGACATTATGTTTGCTCGAAAATACCCAGGTACAACACTTCCACTTTCTACAGCAGCTCCTACAGTGATGGACGTTACTTTGACAACTTCACTTGAACATTGTCTTCAAAGAAATGGCATGTATGATTCTCCAGAAAGAACAGAGCAAAGGTAAATAAATTGTTTAACACTCTAAACTCATTGTTGAATAGAGAAGCAGCTTTAAAGCATTTGACAGAGCTCACGCGACAATTTGTACGCACTGTCTGTCAAAGAAAAGGACTGCCAAAACCAGTGATTGAAAAAGCAGGTGGTGCAGTATTTACTTTTGGAAGTTACAAATTAGGTGTTAATTCAGCAGGTAAAATTTAATTTTCAATTTTGATTTTCTTACTAACAAACTCATTCAACGTAGACGCAGATATTGATACACTCTGTGTTGTACCCTGTTATGTTGAAAGACGTGATTTCTTTGTAGATATGTTATCTACATTGAAATCAACTGCTTGTATTTCTGATATTACAGTAAGTGGATGAAACTCAAGGTTTGTTGGTTTAGACTAATATGATTTTTTTTTGAATAGTCTGTACCCGATTCTTTTGTACCTGTCATTAAGTTCAAATACAATGATATTCCAGTAAGTGATCTGTCTCTATGTGCTATTTTGAAGACTGACATATAATCTAGATCGACCTTGTTTGTGCAAGGTTAAATTTACCTGAAGTACCGGCCACAATCAATGTGAACAATAACAATCTGTTAGTTGGTCTTGACGATAAATGTGTACGCAGTATTAACGGTACTCGTGTTGCAGATGATATTATGTCCCTTGTGCCCAACCTCAGTACGTTTCGTATTGCCTTACGCTGCATTAAATTATGGGCACAAAGAAAAGCAGTCTACTCAAACGTACTTGGGTTTTTTGGTGGTGTTGCATGGGCTATTCTTGTGGCTCGTGTCTGTCAACTGTATCCAAATGCCAGTGCCAGTGTGGTTGTCAGCAAATTTTTTCGTATCTTGACTGAATGGAACTGGTCAGCAGCCCCTGTGATGCTTAAACATATTGAAGATGGTCCATCTCTCAGTTCCTCTTTAAGACCATGGAATAACCGAATCAATCTAGTCGATAAATCACACCGTATGCCTGTCATTACACCTTCTTATCCAAGCATGTGTGCCACTCACAATGTCACTGCCTCTACACAGCGCATCATTCTCGGTGAATTCAACATGGCTGCACAGACAGTAGACAAGATCATGATGGGATCCTTACCTTGGTCTGCCTTATTCTTGCCTCATACTTTTTTTCAAAACTACAAGTATTATCTACAAGTGATTGTCAGTAGTGATGCCCATGCACGGTTTTTAGGCTGGTCGGGTCTAGTGGAAGCTAAATTAAGACTGTTGGTGACCAAGTTAGAAACAGTACCCTCGATTGCACTGGTTCATCCCTATATTCATGGGTTTAAGCATGAACATTTATGTCATTCACCTGAGGAAGTTTATGCAGCCACACATGGACAATTCAAGCCTCCTCATGTTGCTCGAAGAAGACGACCTGCCAAGATCTATACCAAGATATTCTATATTGGCCTCTATATTCGTATGCGACCAGGTAAGCAACAAAAAGGGCAATACGAACACTACTTTATGCTTATTCGAATAGATCAATCAAGAACATTGGATTTAACAAGACCTATTTATGAATTCACAAGATCAGTGACGAATTGGTCTGACTATGATCGAAAGCATATGGGGATTATTGTAGAGAACGTTAGACGGTCTGATTTACCTGAAGAAGTACATAAACAAGCAGCATCTATCATGTCTAAGCGTGCATTATCCAAGGTAAAAAAAAAAAAAAAGAGAGATCACTCTATACAACAACAACAACAATAAAAAAAAAAAAAAAAAAAAAAAAAAAACTGATGTTTTATAGTCACCTTCACCTCAATTACAACCTGCTACTTTACCTACTCGTCCATCACCCAAAGCAACAAAACCTAATGGAGATATCAAAAAGAATGTGAATAAGAAAGCAAAGACCCTTATTAACAAACCAAGCATGCCAAACACAAATGAAGAAACCAGATCATTTGCCATGGCTACTTCTACAGTTTAAAAGAAGGAGGGGGAGATAGGTATCATCTATAGCCATTTTTTATTATTTAAAGACAAATCAAGAGAGAAAGAGAAAGAGAAAAAAGGAAAGAAAGGCAAGTGTATCATTGAATCATATCTTTTTTTTTTTCGTTTCTATAGGTAAAAAACACTTTTTTTCTTTTTCTTTTTCTTTTTTTTTTCCTCTTTCTTGTACTGTTGTAAATATATATATATATATATATATATGTGTGTGTGTGTATATGTATACATTAGAAAAAAAAAAGTTGTTTTTTTAATATTAAATTAAGATGATAATGATGAAGATAAGGATGGTATTTGTTTTCTTGCATAAGCATAATGAATATTGACCCAACTTCTAAAATCTCTACATTCTGAAGATGCTGTCTGAGCCATTTTATCGTATTTTGCAGGACTCATTGACCAATCTTCAGATAATTTGGGTTTAATGGCATCAAACAGTCGTTCCATACATTCAAGCATGATATCACCTGTCTTTCCATACCAGCCTATAGGCGCTGATCGGTGTGAACTCTCTAACAATTCAATTTCTGTAAATGCTTCCAACATGGACTGTAATTGAGAAGCAATCTTCAGATTAATACTTCGTGTCTGTAAAGAGACTGTTACTATAGATCAATGAGTACTATTATTTTACACCATATCATTTGCCCTTACATCGCATCATCCAAATTGACATATTGGGTCCAATATCTTGCACTACACCTGATGGCTCCACAAACTCTATATAGCCACCTGGTTTCACAACACGAATTATCTCAGGCAGGATTGTTTCCCAATCTTTCTGACAGTACCGAAACAGTGCGTCGTGTTGAGTAACAAAGTCAAACGAATTATCTGGGAAAGGTAAACCTTTGGAAATATCATGAATCTTTAAATGACAATTGACAGGTGGACTAATGGGATACACCATCACATCTACACCTACAAAATAGGACTGAGGGTATTCTTTGGCCATGTCCTATTGGTATTTGATTAGCTTGTCATGGTGTATTTTGTTGATTACCATGAGCCACCAAGCAGGACCAGCACTAAACAGAAAGAGAGAGAGAGAAAGAGAGAGAAAGAAAGAGAATCAATAAGACTGACTGATATCATCTTACTTTACCCTACATCCAGGACTCGAATGCCTGACTTTAATAAATCACCTACAGGTGAGAAAAAGGGTGAAGCAAACAAAGACCTATTTGAGTACGTGGTGAGGACAGTCTAGAAAGATGATTGTTGTTACCTAAACATTAAATGGTTGATCTGTAGACGTTCAATCTCTTCATCATCACAAGGTAGAAACTGCTCGTTGGGTTTCTTGCTCTTGCGATAATTTCTGCCTTCAATAAATTCTTGATGTCGAAGGGGAAATTTGGGCTCAGTAGCAGATGGACCGTCATCTTCATCGTCAAAGACTTGTGAGGCGATATCTCTTGAGCTGCTTAGACTTTAGTTTGGTTAGCATTATGCATAACGAATAAACAAAAAAGTACCTTTTGGATATCGAATGAGAAGCACTTTTTGTTTGATTTGATTTATGACGTACCGAGAATGGCATGAGGTTTTGAAAAAAAAAAAAAAAAAGGAAGAAAAAAAAAATCACTTCACTTCTTCGACGGGCATTCAAATCTCATAAAAGCAGTAGAAAGTATATTGCTGGATTGGCACTATATAAAAAAAAAAGTTGGATTGAAACAAGCAATTGATAGTAATGTGTATAATGAATGTATATAGCAAACATTACTTTCACTGTGAAAACAAACAGTGAAAGAGGACAAAGATAAAGCTTATGGGTTGCAATTACCAGGGTGTAAGTTAAATATATTTCTCTTTTGATAAATGTCATTGCCTTTTTGGTTCAAGTAGTATACTAAAAGAGTGTATAGACATCTTCATAGAAGAAATAAGTTCTATAAAGACTAAATTATCATGCATATACCTCATGAAGAACGCCTTCTTTTGCTATGATGCGTCCTTTGAGCGATTTGCTTGATTTGTGTGTTCATTTTGTCTATTGTGCCTTTTGTGAGTGAAGCGTATTTCTTTGAATGTTGATAATCCTTTTGATTGTTTTTTTTTTTCTTGTTCTATTTGCATAAATTACTCCAAGTACCTACAAACCATGTTGACTATCTTCCATGTTACCTCTAGAGTTGTTTTGGACCAAAAAAAGCGACTTGTGAAAAATAACCAAAAATCTCTCTAAACCAAAGGGTACTTATTCATGAAAATGTTCAATCTAACAACTCTTGATCTTCTTCTTGCTGCTGTAGAACAAAGAATAGAGCTATCGACAAGCTTATATACTCAAAATGTACGTCGAACGCTGTAGTTTTTGAACACTGTGTTTGTTTAACGGTTGTATTATGAAAATGGTATAATAGGAGCAAGAAAACCCATAAACATTTTTGCCTGTTTACTCAATATTTTAGCAGCAGAGTTGGTGTGTTCTTTGTATCAATAGGCTCAGAAACCAACGATATACAACCTTTGTCACCATACCAAAGTTCAATAACTGCGTCTTTTTATTATGAGTCTTTTTTTTTTCGAAATTTTTATTATTGCACCGCGTAAAGTTACCCTAATAGTACTCAAAATACGGGCACAATCCATACAGAATTATATTATGCAATTATGCTGCAAATTAACTAGATAGAATAATATGAAAGGTACGCCACTGCTATGAGTGGGAAAAAAATTAAGAGAAAAATTACAGTCTTGTATGTACTTGCTTTTCATCTGCAAGCAGCTGTAAAGCAGTACGTGTTTGTTGTAGATTGGATTAGGCATCAAAAGGGACGTTGTCAATAACAAATCTCCAGTGTGCTTTCCAGACTTGTGAGAGGGCGGTAATGACAATGTCAACAAAGGTTAAGTGTTTCTTTCGTGAACAATCTATTCTGGAGAAGTTTAATGTAACATGTGCCTGAATAATATCTTTGACAGTGGTTGTAGGCCAAAGAGATTCGAAAATGAGATTGTTCTAGAAAAACTTCTTTGGTGGAAAATATAAAAGGAGATGTTGTTCATTTTCAAGATGGATAGTGCAAATTGGACAAAGAGGCGAGGGGAACGTATCGGGAATTATAGAGTGAAGAAATTGTCTTGTGGGTAGCTTAGAAACAAGGAATTGGTACAGCATATTACAAGCAGCTGTCAGCAGAGACCAACTCCAAAAATCGACCCAAAAGGCACTAGACATCTTTATTATGAGGGCAAGAAGAACTGGAGTTGCCTTCCATTTCAATCTCCACAACATAGGTACGCGGTAGGTCCTATTTCCATTTGCCCCACCTTTGCATTATAAGATGCATATATTTCTATCTCCCTATGTTCTTTGGCATGCCAGATAGCATATGATATGTTTTATGAGTTTCTATCTAGCAAGTTTTATATGACATCTGAAGTAAAACTGCCTAAAACACAGTTTAAATGCACTATTCTTTGATGGACCATTACTCGTCAACCAGACTACTAAAATGGCTTTTTTTTTTTTTTCATTTGAAACATGTTCTTTTGGGTCAAGAAATCGAATGATACCATTGGGTTGGCTTCTAGTTGAAATTCATTTTTTTTTGACCTATAGAGGATCCACGGAGGTTCGTAAAAATGTAAGTCTGATCCAACCGAAATGAGGTGAGTTCTGTCTAAGTACTTCTGATTAAAAAAACGAGTCTACTAAGATGATAAAGACGACTTGATTTGAGCATTCCTCTCAGATCTGCATTCAAAGTTGATTGCACACTGTAATCAGTACAAAAGAAGCCCCTTTCAATAAATTTTGACTAATAAGTAGGTACTAATTCATATAATATTCGATTTACAGAGCGTTTGAGAGTAAGATTCGCTATTATACATGACATTTCTGAGGTCAAAAAGAGTAACTATTGAGTATGACAAATGGTGCATATCATGCAAGTGGGAGATTCGGTGTTTTTTTTTTACTGACACTCACAAACCGCAACTGCGTTTCGATCGAGTTGAGAGGAAGACTAAACACCAGTTAGAAAAAATCAGAGCGTAGTGTTATGGCATATGGAAGACAACATCACTGTAGTTTCGCAAGTGAAATGAGTCCTGATCACCTCATGCTAAAGACGAAAGACAACAAGGCAACATACTTGAGTGGACAAAGCCGTTGATGTAAGTGGAATATACGCATAGCTCTTATTACACAAATACGACAACAAAGAAAAAGGATATGCACAACACAAACACATGATGGGTTTGATCAGGGTAATCAAGCCTTTTCAGATCTTCTTTTTGTCTGAACAAGAGTTGATCAGACTCTCGAATAGACACAAAAAGACTCAAAAAAGTAGACTTACACTACGAAAACTTACTAAGCCTTGAATGTATATCTTCCAAACCCTAAAGAGAGCCAGAGTCTGAAGAAAAGGGTTTGAAAGCCCTATACCACTTGATCAAACGCCTTACAGACACTTGAGAAACCAGCCTGAGTAGAGCACACCTTGTTTATCATAGAGCTTACCGACCAAATCAGAGTAGAACCAGGGAGAGAAATAGTCTTGAACCAGCAGTACATCTTGTTAGACGACCTTTTAGATAACTAAAAAACCAGTTTGAGTAGACTAGTCAATAAACATAAGTTATTGCGCGTTGCTTTTGATGACACAAGTTTCAGTGTGGCTTTATGTCTGAACAACACTAAACAAGCACAACTACACTATTGAAAGATATATAGAAATCAAATAAGCAACATGAACTTACCTTGAAAAAGAATGTAAAAAAGAAACAAAAGTAAATCGTTGCTTTAAGCAAGCCCTTAAACTTCTAAAGACAAAAGTAAAAGCAGCTAGTCTTCAAGAAAACATCATTACAATAAAAAAAAAGTATACGTCATTATTCATTGTTAAAAGCAAATCTTTATTAAATAATGTCAGTCTTTAGTTTCACTTCATAGAGAAGTTACTCACAGGAGTAGCCACGAGAAGGCAACTGACTCGTACTCCCTCACTTCCTTCACTGACACCTTCCCAGGCCCGCGATACACTGGGGAATGTCAGATCATTAAAGAAGGATCCCAGCAACTCCCAGCAACTACCCTTCTTCCCGCTGCAGACCAACGCCTATATACCCCGTATCTTACTCTCGGGGCAGTAAGATAAGAAAGTAAATCATCGGCTATAACAGGCCAACAACGATCAGGATCGAACACTGAAAGCCACGGAGAGAGACACACCAGTAGACAGAACCAACCAAATAGAGAGAAAAGCCTAGAGAAAGCAGAGATGTCAGCAAACGCGTTTTTGAAATGATGGAGTACTTACCAAAAAACGATCTACAAAAAGAGAGAACACGAAAAAACTACGCCAATTCCATCTCATCCCATCACATTGTTAGACTACAGATAACACACAGACGCTCAAAATGAAAATAGAAAGACTCAAAAAACCAACCAAAGAGAAAATCCTAGAAAAGACAGAGATGTCAGTAAACGCGTTCTTGAAATAAATAAGGTACTTACCAGAAAACGAACCACAGAAAGAGAGAACAAGAAACAACTACACTAGCCTTCACCAGTGCATTGTTAGACTACAGATAACTAGTATATCCTCAATACATAGCTACTTGTAACCAAAGTAGAGAGACAAAGAGAGAGAACCAAGCAGATGGAACCAAGCAGATAGAACCAACCAAGTAAAGAGAAAACCTTAGAGAAAGTAGACGCGTTCTTGAAATAGATAAGGCACGAACCAAAAAGAGAGAGAGACCATAAGAGACCAGAGTAGAGAAAGTAAAGAAACAGAAAGAAAAGATAAAGAAATAAAAAAGAGTGCTGCGTACTCCTTTCCTTGGTTTTTTGTTTTCTTTTGATAGAGATTATCTCATAGAGAGGACGTCCAACCTTGTGTTACATATAAACTTATTTACTTGCATAAGACATGCGATGAACACCCTACTTGTCAGTTCTATAAACAGAAAAGCATCCCCTTTTGCTTATTTTCTTTCTCTTTTGCTATGTGCTTATCCTCTGTGTTTCTATTGAGTAATTCATTATTCTTTGCCCTTGAAGATAAGGGAAGTTTACTTGTCATATAAATCAATGCGGAATGTATTTCGTAATAGAGGACTTTGAATTGTAATCATTCCCAGTTTCCTTTTTTTCTTTCCATGAGAAGATCATCCTGAAACAATAACAAACTTTCTTATTCATATGAAAATGTCAATAACCAAAAGAGCAAAGAAAAGTTTAGCTGTTTAAAGAAAAAGAAAGAAAAAGAAAGAAAGCTATTTTGCACACAAACTGAAGTACTGATTACTGGTGCCTAAAGATGAACTAACTATTGTCTTTTTTTTTCTTCCTTTTTTTTTTTACCTTGAGCACGAAAAGTATTTCCGTTGATCCGTGCACTATGCATACGTTTACCACATTTTAAATCCCTGGGACAGTTGCTTACTTTTCCCTGAAAATAGACCCTGAAAAATCCATCGCTTTTTTTTTTTTTTTTTGCTCACTATAAAACTCATACTGATTGCTTTTTTCTCTTTCTAAGTGAATAGACTATAAACTAGTTCTATAAGCTATCTTTAGCTATCAGTTTAGTGATGAAGAAAAGATGACATGATGTAAACATATGTTTTATTTCAGTGACACAAACAAGTACAAAGCAGACACTACACTTCCTTCGAGTCTAAAAACCAAAATAAACGATACAAGTAAAAAAGAGTAATTGTCTTTGATGAATGTATATATATATATACCATGATACATTGCAAAAAGCATATAAAATCATATAAAACCGTATGTTTTTGCATACATGTGAGTAAATCGACCCTTCAAAGTTACATAAACCAACAAAGTTGTTGATAGCATCGAAAGTTATTCAAAATACAAAAGACAAAACGTGGAAGCACTTGCTTTGTCTTTATAGAAATCAAATGTCCTCGTCCTAGTTCCTGGAAACAAATACTCACAGTATTTGGCTAAAGTACCAGTTTCTTTTTTATCTTTTTATTCAATAAAATATATACACTAGTATTTAAAATAATTGATAACGCGTCTTTTTTTTTTTTTTTACATAGTATTAAAGGAAAAGTAAAAGGGAAAAGAAGAACTCATAAGAAAAGAACTACTAACTAGTAAATACCCGAAGACATTGACTTTAATAGGTTAAATATAGGAGAGAACACTTTGATAGTCTTCTTTATTTAGAATTTGATTATGCTGCTTTCTAGCATGTATCATAGAGACATTCAACTTTTTTCTTGTAGCAACCATTCTATTTTTGTTAAGTATTATTCTTGGGCTTGCGTTTTCTGAAGTTAGATGCATTCGAGCCAATGAATATTATTTAATACCAGCGTGGTCTTAGTGCAAGAAATCTCATCATGATAGACCTTGGCGTATAGTTAAAATTCGTTAATAACGGAATAAACATCGATAGACAAGATAATCTTTATTGCAAATTCTTCTAATCTTTGTCTCTTGCTTCTTGCGAATACTAGAAAGAACAGAGCAAATGTGATTTGCGATATGCAGTTCCTTTTGGTATAGCATAAAGATGTGATCCCACTTCGATATAGAAGTTGCAGTGGGAAGCAATTCAAAAAGGATTATGACAAACGTTTTCAACCTACACAATTATCGACGATTAGTGTAAGTAAAGATATGTCAAACTATCAACTTAAAAGATACTTAACTTAACCTGAAATAGAGCTTTCCTTTTCTTCTTGTTGGTGAAGGATAGTACCATGCTATAGCTGCTACCTAGTACAAGCAAAAAGCATATAGAGGTATACGCTACCAATCTTGTAGAAGGAATTGGTCGTCTCCTCAGGAAGAAGAGCAAGCAGTACAAGCATGTTCGTGGCAAGCAAAGATATACCTCGCAATGTCCTGTCTTGGTATACGATTGCTTTTTTCATCTTGTACGAGATAGCCACGTTGGTCGATGTTTTAGAAAATGCTCCATAAAATATTTTAGAGAAAAAAAATATAACGCCATCTTAAAGTGACGCATATCAGTGGCTTATTCCTATATTGAAACTCCATGAATAAAGGTTTTGATATACAGTAAACGAATTTTATGCAGCACCCACTAGAATCCAGCGGACAATGCAAACTGAAAAAAAAGAAAAACTCTGGTCTACTAAATGAAGACGATACTTTTTTTCTATTCCTTTGTATCCCTAATGATTGGTCAAAAAAGCTTTTCAATACATTATATCAATTTGAATCAAGCGTACCAAGAAGAGACTACTTCTCCAAAGTGCCCCACCTGCGCAATGGAATTTCTAGTACTATTGTGAAAATAAAGTACAACAAGAAACCTGACTGCAGCGACTTTACGAAGAGATTTTCTTTCAGACTTACAATGGTTACAGTCCCAAAACCGAAATCTTCCAAGAGAACTGAAACAGTATGTCAAATCTTTGGAGGTAAAATGACCTAAAAAGAAAACATATTAAAAGAAACCCATTGTTTATCGAAAGACCTTTCAACAGGATATTTCAGTAAGATCATCGAGCAACAACGAACGACAAGCAATATTCGTAAGTATAAATAGTAATAAAAAGTTATGAGAGGTTAATGTGCTTTTATAGGAGGGCACGGTTACAGCTTATTCGCAAGCGGTGTCATGAACAGTCCAAGCTAAAGTAGAGCAGTTTAGTAGCCCAGTTTCATGTTCCACAATACTTAGTATAAAAAAGAGAGACGGATACAGCATCCATGACTTCTTAGCCGATAACAAATCTCATATCATAGCGTTTGGAGAACTAGATAAATATATTGTGAATGATGCAGATGTGGTGCTGGAATTTAAGAAATTTTAAAGACACAGCATAGAATACATAAAAAATGCGAACTACTTTGATCAGAATTATGATATACATCGAATGCTGTAAATATACATACATATACGAGAAATTATAACAAACAATAGTGTTAACTCTAACAACTCAATGTAGGGCACTATCCAACATTATACTCATAGATAAAGCTACAAACCCTAAATTACTTCCAGACATCGTATCCAAAGAAACATATCGATTGATGAAACAGGAGTTTATTCAAAACCATATGCTTAGTATTAAGTTTGATGAAAAATTATACAAACGGGTTAAGCGCATATTGGAGGTAAGTTTCGTCTATAAAAAATTTAGCCTTCCTTCAAAAAAAAAAAAAAAAAAAAAAATTACCAACTCATAGTAGGTGTCAAAACTTATCTACCCACCAGAAATGTGGATGCCGCAGGTACATTTTTACTTGTTTATGACTATCAAAGTAGTAGAGTATATCCATTTAGCTTGTCAAATTCATTGCCAAAAATCCAAGCATACAGATCGAGAAGTGCCTACAGAAGCAGAAGTTCAATCTGAGGATGTTAACTTGAGTAATTTTGGGTTGTTTATCCACGCATGGGCTAATTGTGGTTCCCAAGTCAAGCCGCAAAAAGCAAAAACTAGCAGGTGGTACTAAAAGGGCCCTTCCCCACAAAACATGCACAAGCCACTTCTTGCTTTTGTAAAAATATGCTCTAAATACCTACAAACCATGTTTACTAACATACAGGATACCTTTGGGGCTGATATGTACCAAAAAAAGCGATTTGTAAAATTTGACCAAGATATGCCTTTTGACCAAAGGGTACCACTCACGGAAAATGCTGATTTTGACAACTTTGATCTTCTTCTCCACCTTTTTTATGTTAGAAAATCGGCATAAACAGCAAACTGACCCAAACTCAAACTACAACAACGAGAATCCTTTGCTTTGGACTCATGTTGTTAGATCAAAGAGGAAAGGCAACAACAATAAAAAGAATCAATCTATTGTTTCGTTTAACCCTACTTTGGTTAATCTTCCTGTTACAGAAGAAGAGTCATCTCAAAATGCTCTTAATGGCTCCAGCCCTCCAGCTCCCATTGCAGTTATTCGTCCATTTATTAAAGGAATGGAACAGGATTCAGTCTTTATTGATCTTACTCCAGTCAAGGATCGATCTTTATTAAACAAAGCTCTACTCAAGTTTAATGAAGATGCTGAAAACATAGGCTACTACGAAGATTTTCTTGGTTATCGAAAGCAAACACGCAACTATCTGGGATATGACTTCTTGGAGACTATGTGGCTTTATAACAGTGTTGGTCGCAAGACACTTATTGAAGAAGGAATTACCTTGGAAGATGGTACCTTTGTGAAAGGTTTTCCTTCCTATCCAGCTGATGCTACCATCGTCCGCTTAACTCTTGAAAATCTTCCATTCCTCCCAGCCATCCAGTTGAAAGAGGAAATGGCTGCTCGTCTTTCGTGCTTTGGGGAGGTTCTAGATCATGGCATCTCGAGAACTGATGGCATCTTTCATGGTACCTTGAATCTAACTTTGTCGGCTACGCCTGAAAATGGATGTATGGAATCCCACGCAGAAGGATCGGAGTGTCCCAGGCATAGACACTTGGAGCCCTTATCTCGCGTCATCATTTGGGATCCATGTGATAATGAACAGAGAAAAGTACTTTTACAATGGGATAAGATACCTGACTTCTGTCGTAGCTGTCAGAGATCAGACCATTGTCGAGCTGATTGTCCTAACTACAAGAAATGGGTACGCTGCTACCATTGCAATGAGACTGGCCATGTTATGCGTAACTGCAGTCGTAATGGATCAATCGACTCCGCTCCCAGCAAGGTCCGTGCAGTAGAGAAATCCTCAAGTCAGCCAAAACCTAGAAAAGGGTCAAACAAAGATTCTACTGCCTCACCAAAGGCTGCTCCTAAGAAACCAATGGCACAAAAAAATGCCTCTGCTGGCTCTCCAGTTCCTCAAGGCTACAAGAATAATGAAAGAGATGCAACGGTTGCTCTCAATGGTAGAAACGGTGTTGAAGAGGACACCACTATGAATGAAAGCAACCTTAATCCGGTAAATGATTCTGATGCGGTAAAGACTATCTCAAAAGTCATAGTAATGGAGGATACTGTGATCTCTTCTCCATCTCGATTTACAGATTTGGAGACTCATGATAATGTCAAAAGGATGGGTAAGTTCAATGGAACTGATGATATAAGTGCTGCTCGACAACAAGCTGCAGCTTCAGCAGCATCACAACAAAATAGAAAGAATGATATAAATAATGTAAAGGCAAACGTGCTTCAGCCTGATTTGATGGGCCAACAATCACCTCAACCTCAACATTAATTATGAATATTAGACATCATACAGTTAAAATTGCCACTCTCAATTGTCGTGGCTTGAAAAAATCAGAAGATACCAAAAAAAGACAACAATTCATTAGATACCTTAGAACACTTGGATATGATATCCTGGTGCTACAAGAAACTCATGCTTCAAATACTACTACTATAGATTTACTTAACAACCGTTTTAACTGCAAGTCGAGCATTTGGACTCAACATTGCGGCATCATATCATTCTCTCATCACTTTACAATTACGCCTGTCTCGGAAGGAATTGACAATGGTCGATATATATTAGCTGTTATTTATTAACTCGAGATTTGAAACATTCTTCTACTATGGCACCTATAGCAACAATTTTAAATATCTATGGTCGTTCAGCGCTTCATTCTGATCGATCAGCACTCTATACTGAGCTTCTGGATATTCCAATTGTCAAGGACACGATTATCAATACACATAACACAATAATTATTATGGGAGATTTCAACTATCAATATAAAGATCGCCGTTTAGATGGTACTTTACTGTGTGCGCCTCCTGAATGGACAGATTTACTGGATGACTATTACATTGATATTTTTGGGAATGAAAAGCAGATTACTTGGCATAGTGGCAGCAACTCAGGAATCTTGGATTATGTTTTTTGTAATTCAAGTGCTCATCATCAGATCACTAGTATCAATCAACAATTTCTGTCACAAGAGTGGACACACCACGACCTCTTAGGGTTCTCATTCAAGTATCAAGACTCATCTGATCGCGGACCTGGTTCTTGGAAAGCGAATCCATTCTTAGCTCGAAACAAAGAGTTCAGGCAAGCATTAGCACTTCATTTAGAATCATGCATGAAAAGTTTTACAGAAATCAAACAATTTGCTAAACCGCAACAGTAATGGGATTGGATTAAAGGAGAAGTAAAGCTTTTTGTGAAAACCTATCAGAAGGAGGATCTGAACTGGAGGAAAAAGCAATTGCATAAATTTTAATCTAAGAGGAACAAAGCAATGCGGCATCAGAAGCATAGAGGACTGATATTTCAAGGCTTGGATCATATCAATTCCTTAATCCAGTCTTTACAACAGTCGATAGCAGAGATCGAGATTTTAAAGTCTGGCAAGTTTTGGAGAGAACATGGAGAGAAATCTACAGGCTTTTTGGAGCGGACACAAGTATCTCGACAAAATCAGCGATCCATCATTGAATTGAGAGATCCAGTGACTGAAGAGCTTTGTCAAGAGCAACATGATATTTCTCGTATAGCAACTGAATTTTATACCTCGCTATTTACTCCTTCTCCCACTGAAACTGTAGCTCTTAGGGCTATGACTCGATCTATTCCTAGTCACTTGAAGATTTCATCAGAACAACAGGAGAAACTTATGCAGCCTATTGATGTTGATGACATACTCAAAGAGAGTAAGCGTACCCCTCGTAAGAGTAGTCCAGGACCAGATGGACTGCCATATGAGATACTGTATTTGGTTATAAAATTCCCTCCATATCATGATCTGATATCGACTGTCTATGATGACGCTTTGTAGAAGAGTAAGTTTCCCCAGTCATGGAATGAATCAGTCATGTGTCTGCTGTACAAGAAAGGTGACCCTGCGGATATGAAGAACTATCGTCCTTTGTCCTTAGCAAATACGGATTACAAACTGTTTACACGTATCGTCAATCGTCGAATCATGGAGGTATCTTCTCGTCTTATTAGCCGTCATCAATTGGGGTTTATTCCTGGACGGTTTGTCGCTGAAAATGGTATGATCTGTCAATTGCTAATGGAAGATGCTCAAAGGAAATGGTCGATCGCTGAACAACTGGATAATGATCCTGATTTTAGTACCTTGAATGCTGATATTGGTCTTCTCTTGGATCAAGAAAAGACTTACGACAGAGTGAATTTACACTACTTGAAGAAAGTGATGAAAAAGTTTGGCTTCCCTTCTCCACTGATCAAATGCATTTACAAGTCAATGGGCGATAATCTTATCCGAATCAACATCAATGGTCATCTCTCCTCCGAAGTTGCTAAATTACGCGGATTGAAACAGGGTGATCCTCTCTCTCCTATTTTGTATAACTTGGCTTTTGAACCTTTCTTGCTCTCCATTCTCCATGATCGTCAATTTCAAGGCTACATAATGGGTATCAAGCATTTGCACTCTGTCGAAGGTGATGAACCCTTAATTTATTTGAGTTTTCCATTGATACAAAGCCGTATTCAAAGAGTCAATTTTATGGGTTCTATGATAACAAAGGTTAAGACTGCCATACAAATCCACTCTACACGTTCACTGTCTGTAGTTGGCCGAGCCACTGTCTTGAATTCACTGATATTGTCTAAAATATGGTATATCTTGCGGGTTACTCCGTTGACACTTGCTGATTTCAAACAATTGAGATCTTTGGCCATTCGATTCTTGCGTAAGAATATATTTCCTGTTATTCCTTGGAAAGTATGGACGCTGCTAAAAGAAAAAGGTGGACTCGGAGTAATTGATATTCAGATTTAGGCCTCGGCTTTATGTTTTCGCTGGCTGCACCCTTTGTTGGCGTATGATCAAGATACTATTGATGCTCATCCGGTCTCGTACTTACTTAGCCTTCATATTTGTAATATCAATGACTGAAAATATCATCAGGCTCCATTGTTGCTTCCTTCTTCTCGTATACAAGGGTTGAAAAAAACAAAGAACTGGCACTATTAATATGCTATATCGTGCCATTGATTGTCTTCCTCAATCATTTGCTAATGCTAGCCTTAATACTGCTACCGCTATGGTCCTACCTTTGCAAGCTGTGCTTTACGTTCCTCCTTCTTTGTCCTTCGCTGTCCCCCTGTGATGTTTGGGTTGTGAAATGAAAATAGAATAGAATAAAAGAAAACAAAGAAATACAGTGAGACTGTTCAGTACTTCTTTATTATCAAAATAATTGATTATCCTCTAAAATATATCTTTTTCCAGGTTGTCTTTTCACTACCTGATTTATTGACTAATTACGATTACTGATTATTGATTGCTTAACACTTTGACAGCTTGTGCCTGGGAGTTGACTATGTAGATTCTCCTTTAATTCTTCTGGTTATCTAAAAGGTACAATTATGGTTTCCTTTTTGTAAATATCCATATTATCCCAGTTATCGTTATTTACTGTCATTATACAATGCTTACCTTATATTTATGATGTATAGTGCTATAAGTGATTATTCATTTATATGATGAAAGACTATTTATTATATTTGTATTAAAAAGTGCTCAGATCACCACACCCCCTACGTGTCAAAAAAAATGATGTCAGATGTCTTTCA